TAGGGTTTCCTGCCCGAGCAGGGGGTTGGACTAGATGACCTCCAAGGTCCCTTCCAACTTTACTACTATTATTATTATTACTTGTTGATGCTCTATCTGGAAGTCTTTAAAAAAAGAGATTGAGCAACTATTTCTCTGAAAAGGTATAGGTTTCCTGCTCGAGCAGGCAGTTGGACTAGAAGACCGCCAAGGTCTCTTCCAACTCTATTATTCTGTTATTTTGTTATTCTATCAAATCAGTCAATATATACAAGTTGATGGTTCCAGGTTTTCACACAATTAGATTCATTGTTGTGAAACATTTTCTACTGTGCATGGGGAGGGGAGGAGAAAAAGAGAGAGAGAGAGAGAGAATGGGCACTTTATCAGCTACCTCTTGCAGTTTTACAGTTGGAGTGTTTCTATGTGTATGTTTGTGAGCGCACTCGTGCTTATGTGCCTTCACTCCTAGGGGCTGTTATCTTGGCCAACCAAACTGACTGCTTTGCCAGCCAAGTTCTCAGAAACAGCCCAGATCGTAACTGTCAACGCGCAGAGAGTTTGTGCAAAGTAAGGGAAAGAAAAGAAAAGGAAAAAAAAAGACCAGACAGAGACCCACAAAAAACAAGAGGAGAGATGTTGTGAGGTTGGGGAATAAAACTGTTGACATTGGGGGGGAGGGAGAGACTGTAGTTTCCACTGTCTGAAACTGCACTTGCCCAAATCATTCCAGAACAATTTGCTTCTGGCTGGACTTTATTGCTCACTTTTTGTTACGTTGCCCAGACTGATAGGTGTTAAATCCAGGGGAAATAAAAGCAAGGAAGCAGACAGACCAGAAATGCTTCAGTTTGGTGCAGGTGCCTTTAGCAATTCAGGTCACGCTGGGTAAGGCTTTGGACCTCCAGAGGGATTCCTCCAGAGTTGACCTTGGAGGTAGAAATCTAGTCTTTCAACTGGCTGATTAAACAGAAGAGCCCCCCCTCTTTCTCCCCCCTCTGATAAACATGATTCCCTATGTTAAATTTGCCTTTATTACTTTATAACAGTGGTTCTCAACCTGTGGGTCGGGACCCCATTTGGGGTTGAACGACCATTTCACGGGGGTCGCCAAACAACACAGTCCGCCATTTTTCCCCCCTTTTCCTTGGCTTTGCTACTCCCTTTTATTCTATTGACTTTTGAGAGCCAATAGAATAGACTCTCTTGAATAGAGTCTAATTCTATTGGCTTTCAAAAGCCAATAGGAATTGTCCATGCTGTCTCTGCCCTGCTGAGCCCGCCAAAAGTCCCATTCTGCAAACGGTGGTGCACCAGTTGAGTAGTCCTTGACTTACGACCGGTTGAGTAGTCCTTGACTTACGACCAGTTGGGGGTCGCGGCATTAAAAAGGTTGAGAACCACTGCTTTATAAGTAACAGCAGCAAACATACCTGATACTCTTTCCTCCTTCTATTTTCCTGTCAACAACCACCTGGTGTGAGTTCGCTTGGACTAAGAGAGAGAGAGAGAGAGAGAGAGAGAGAGAGAGAGAGAGAGAGAGACTGGGCCAAGGTCACCCAGGTGGTTTCATGCCTAAAGTGGGACTAGAACTCATAGTCTTCTGGTTTCTAGATTAACACCTTAACCACTGCACCAAACTAGCTTTCCAAATTCTGCAATGACCTACAGTTATTCATTCCTGCTATTGACAAATGTGGGATGTTGCTTTTCTTTCTGTTCATCTTGCACTGAGCCAGCCTTACCATTAGGGAGACTGAGGCAGAGGAAGTTGAAAATGGAAATGTGAGGAACGTTTTGGAGGGCTGGGACCTACCTTAGTTGATCTCTACCTCCCTGTTTGGCCTGCATCCAGCCTAAATGTTATAAAGGGGCATCCCAAAATTTGGGAGAAGATACTTGGTTTTGTTGATTCTTCTAATTTTAGGGGAATATCTTCTAGCTTTGCTTGTGTCAGTCCCTGTTTCTCTCCCTCGATCTCCACAAAGCCTTTTATTTCTCAACTTCAGTGGCAATTGATCCGATGAGGAATTCTGTAAACAAAAAGTTATTCTAAGAAAAATGAATGGTGTAAGGCAGGGGTCTTCAAACTTGGCCCTTTTATGACTTGTAGACTTCAACTCCCAGAATTCCTCAGCCAGCGTGCCTGGCTGAGGAATTCTGGGAGTTGAAGTCCACGTCATAAAAGGGCCAAGTTTGAAGACCCCTGCTGTAAGGAAAGATATGGAAGAATTGAAGCAGTTGATAATGCTGATAGATTAGAAAGTCTATGAAATTCCGTATTATAGGATTAAGAGTCCAGATGGTGCTTCATCTTGGTCCTTATGATCAATTAGAATTATTATATTCCAGCAAAGGAGTTGATGTCCAGTTGCATCTAAAATTAACTGTTCAACCTGTAGGTCTAAAAATGGTACATCTATGATGTCATTTTTCCATTCTTAAATAACAGGACTTACTCATAGTCTCATAAAACAGATTAATTATATAACGTGACTGCAAGCTCTTGAGGTCTTGTTTATAAATATAAAACTCATGCAAGGCAGTTTACACAGATGATTTGCTGGAGCAAACTTGCTGAGTAATCTGTACATAAATGGGGGCTGCATGGGAATTCTAAGATATATACTTTATGCAATTAAATGAACAAATAATAAAATATTTTTCAGTAGAAGAGGCCTATGAAATGTCCCTTATCCAATGATTTTGTAAAGTGTTTCCTGAACTTCTGGGAGACTTCAGTATGCATTTTGAATTTTAATGTTTCCCACTATACAATCTTTTATATATCTGCTTTGACCAATAGGACTGATTATAGTGATATAAGTTTGTTCATCTAGTCATTAATTTTTCAGAGTCTCTATTTTGATATACTGTACAGTACATTCAAGGGCAAAGTATGCCCAGTTATCTTGCAAAAACTTCTGGGCATATCTTCTTACATAGAAATTGGTCTTTTTTTTTATGTTCAACTCCTTTTCAATTTCTCTAGAAGTGTCAATTCTAAGGAGAGAGACATTTACATATAAGCGCCTACTCAAGATTTTCTTTCCCTTCTCCTTCTGGAGTATATATTCGGACAAAAAGCTACGTTAAAGGTGTAAATATTTGCTCAAAAGCTTCGCGACTGATTCAAATCTCCCTTAAGATAAGGTCAACTCTTAGTGCATATGTGAATGTATTTTATGAAGTTTTCTTGCTACTGTCTTTTTTTGTAGATTTTTTTTTTAAAAAAAATGGCCTGGAGATTGTGGTACAGTCTCCCACTGAAACACTTGCTGAGCCTAACACTGCTTAGCTTTTAAACACATTCAAGCAAAATCAGCTAAGGTCAACTAATATCCCCTGTAGTTTGCAGTTGGTCAAGGTATATACTCAAAAAAGCAGAGTTCTGTCAGTAATAAAGTTACTTATCAACCTAATCAAACATTCAGCCCTCAAAAATATCTGTTTAACTCTTGAAGGACACAGGATTTTTAAATGAACAAAATTAAAATGTCAAAATGTTACTGGATCTAGACATACAGTAAAATGAACGGGTTGAATGTGCTGTAATTCAGGGAGCTCAGCGATCAATTCATCATTCAAAATAGATCACTTGGATCTTTCAGCCTTTCCAACTGATGTGATTATTCAAAAATAGCATTTCCCTTTTCCTGACTCCATGTGGGTCCTAGGAAAGCACAGCCCCTCATTCTATCATTGTGGAACATCATTTAACATTACTGCAAGCAAAAATTGGTATTTATTTGTGTATGCATGATAAAATGCAGTTTTGAAAAAAGTGAGAACAATAACAAAAGCCAAACAAACCAAAAGCTTTTTCAAAACTAGCTTAAAGTAATTGCTATTCTACACACCCTAGGGCAGTGTTTCTCAACCTTGACAATTTTAAGGCATGTGGATTGTCAAGGTTGAGAAACACTGCCCTAGGGAATAAAGTTAATATATATAAAATTTATTTACCGCCCATCTTGTTTCAAAATGATGCTGGGAAGCTATATTTTATAAACATTATATTCTTTTGTTTGTTTGTTTGTTCGTTCAATTTCTATAGCCGCACATCTTAGTCAATGACTCTGGGTGCGTACAGTTCAAAAACTATAGGTAGTGCTCAACTTACAACAGTTCATTTAGTGACCATTTGAAGTTGCAAGAGCACTGAAAAAGAGACTTATAACCATTTTTTATACTTATGACCACTACAGCATCCCCATGGTCATGTGATCAAAATTCAGACTTTTGGCAACTGATTCATATATATGACGGTTGCAATGTCCCGAAATCACATGATCACTTTTTTCAAGCTTCTGACAAGCAAAGTGAATGGGGAAGCCAGATTCACTTAACAACCGTGTTACTAACTTAACTGCAGTGATTCACTTAACAAGAAAGGTCGTAAAGTAGAGCAAAATTCACTTAACAAGTGTCTCACTTAGCAACAGAAATTTTGGGCTCAATTAAGATCGTAAGTCGAGAACTACCTGCAATCTTATGTTTATGTATTTATTTATTCAATTTGTATAACCACCTGTCTCAGTCAATGATTCGGTGGCTTACAATTCAACCACCGTATTACAAATCAAAATACTAAAGACATTTTAAAACAATAGAAACATCCAAAATAAATATACATAGCAGCCGAGATACTTGGCCAGTTAGCAAAATAGCCAGGAAGGAGGCCCTTAACACATTCAGTGCTCCAGGTATGGGAACACAGCCAGGTTTTAAGGGCCTCACGAAAGGCTGACAGGGCTAGGGCCATTTTAATCTCCTTCTGTGTCTCAGCATTCGTTCCTCCATTTTGTAGGCCAACACTCAGTTTTAACCACCTTTTGTGCTCAGTCATTCTCTGTTCCTTTCTGTGAAATCTGAAGTTGTTTCTCTTGACTAAAGAGAAGACAACATGGTGGGGTATCCTGCAATGCCTGAGGGAGCAAGGAAGGACATCACAACTGACTGTACAATGGCAGCATAGAAGTGAAGACCTTAGCTTAAAGCAATTCTCTTTTCTCTTATAGTTTCAGATAAATGTATCCAATATGGACCATCCCTTGGACTGTTTTGGGCTTCTCCTGTGGTTGCTGATGTTGGTTTATTTGCCACTGCAAAACGTCCATGGATTTTTCCCCAACATCTGGTATCGGGGCGTCAGCTTCTCCTGGGGATCTATCACCCACCAGGACATGACTGAAGATGCAATTCTGAACATCACTGTTCGCCTCTTTTCGGAGATAACTCACCCTACCAAGAGGAAACACATCCAAGAAGAGGACTTTAAGGTGAGAGAAAATTGGACGTGGATACCTGAAAGGAATGTGAGGTGAAGGGAGCAGTGATATTTTCAGCAAATTAGCAGAGGTGGACAATTAAGTTTCCCAAGGGACCACATGAAGACTTTTATTGTTGAGGAGGACCGAACCAATAGAGCTGTGAAGATGCATTGGCACGCACGCATGCACATATGTAAATTGAAAAAAATAGCAGTCACCTTCAAAATAGTGTGCATGATGTTCACTTATTTACATTTAATTTCTAATTTCTAGTTGAGCTCATGCGGGCTGGACAGGTACAGCCAAAGGGCTGGATGTGTCCCATGGGGGGGCTGTAAAATGGCCAGGTCTGTGGCCTATTCCTCAGTGACATTCAAATCAAATAACTTTATTGCAGTTACTAACCAGCAGAAAGAAGAAAGAGGAGAAAGTAGTTTTTGAATATCCATAACATTCAATAATAAATGAGGAATGATACATTTAAAAGAAATGCTTAAAAGCATCATTGTTATTAGTTAAAACTAACCTATACTCTAGAATTATAGAGCCCCTAACAAATCTGAGGAAGGTACAATACAATAGCTGGCATAAAAACAAAATGACCAATGGGTAATGCTGAGGCAGAGCCATTCCCTGCTCAAACAAATTCAATTACTCTGAATTAATCTTTGTCTAATTTTGTACCCCAGTGCACAGAACCTGGCAATCTTACATGTTATTTCAGAATTAGTATCAGAATTGCTTGTAGCTGAATGACATTGTACAAAACCCTCCTTTGTTTAGCTGAGTTGCAATGTCATCGAGGGGGCTGAGTCTTGCTCAGACACCCCCAAAGTGCATCTTGTTCATTGCTTATCAGCAAGCAAAAACCAAAAATGGGCAGTCTTGCCAGCTTACTTGTTTTTTGCTGGCAATTAATTGGTAATTCCCAGTTGGAAACAGTTCCTTTATCATTGTAGGTGACAGAGGGTGCTAGTGCTGTTACTGATGTTTTCAATTACACAACCAACCCAATTTTACGACTTATTTTGCAACAGTCATTCAGTGAATGGGGCAGTTGTTAAGCAAACATGGTGGTCGTTAAGTAAAGCTATTGTTCACAATGGACAGTTTTTGCCGAAAACTGGACGTAGATGCCAGTTTCTGGCAGAAAATGTCATAGATCACAGTCACATGGCCACAGGATACCACAAATGGCCATAAGTAATAATAATAATAATTAATAATAATAATAAAGTTGGAAGGGACCTTGGAGGTCATCTAGTCCAACCCCCTGCTCAGGCAGGAAACCCTATACCATTTCAGACAAATGGCTGTCCAGTCTCTTCTTTAAAACTTCCAGTGTTGGAGCATTCACCTCTTCTGGAGGCAGGTTGTTCCACTGGTTAATTGTTCTAACTGTCAGGAAGTTTCTCCTTAGTTCTAGGTTGCTTCTCTCATTGATTAGTTTCCAAGTGTAGCCTGGTTGCCAAGTGCCCCAAATGCAATCACATGACCATGGGAGAGGCAATGCCAGAACTTTGAATCTGGATGAGGAATTCTGTCAGTGGAAGTCCACACATCTTCAAGTTGCCATGATTGAGAAAAACTGACTTACAAATTCAGTCCATTTATCCATAACATGTATTTCAGTTGAGACTTAACCTTTCATTCCCCCTCAACACACTCTTCCTTCTCTATATTGTGGGGGAGGGGGAAAATGGGTGGACTTATCTACCATGGTTTTTTTAATATTACTTCTGATTCCACCTCAACAGGGCAAGACCCTATTGGCTGATGACATCTTTGCCGCTTTCTATGGTCCTGAGGTGTCAGCCAAGCGTTTCCGTGGAGCCATTGCAGAAGTAGCCAATGCCAATGCTGCCATGGACTTTGGGAATACGACTCGGGATGACCCCGTTTTCCACTTTGATTCAGAGCTCATTCACTCTGCCAACAGCTGGCTGTTGCATGTTCGTAAAGAGATCCTCCAGGCTGTGCATTCTGAGCAATATGGCATTGCCCGAAAAAAGCTGGGACAGCTGCTCCACTCCTTGCAGGTATTCACCAAAATGTACCAAATTCAAAATTAAAATAGCAGGAAAGATGGCAGCCTTCTCGGTGGCAGCCCCAAATCTATAAATGCAACAATCGGCGAGAATATGTTTGGGAGAGGAAAAGGAAGAGGTGAGGTAGGACAATAGTCAGATAAGACAGGTTTTTTCAACCAATGGTACAGGTACCACCTGTGGTACATTGGCACCTGGCAGGTGGTATGTGACCATCCTAGAAAAGTGGTAGCGGGGGAGGGGAATGAGCTGAACCGGTGGCAGCACCGCAGAAGCCTGAGCGAGAGATGGCTGGGGCTGCAGGGCTGTCAGGGCTCAGTGGAAGCACCAGGATCAGCTCCAGGCTCCAGCTGGAGCTCGGCGCTGATCCTGGTGCTTCTGTTGAGCCCAGAAGAAGCACCGATCAGCTGGAATGTTGCAGCATCTCCATGGTCTTGTGATTTACATTCAGATGCTTGGCAATTGATTCATATTTGTGACGTCACAGTATCTCAGGGTCATGTGAAGTGACCAAAACCTGCTGCAACCACCCAGCAGACGGGGGGAATAAAAACCAAACACCCCCCACCCCACCCCCCCACTGCCAGTCCTCAACAGAAATGCTCACAACAATGAAAACCTTGGACAGGAGGAAGAGCGCTGCCGGGCGGGCAAGCAGGTGTCTTGCTCGGCTGTGGCTTGGGGGGCACTTTTTTCAGTGCCATTGTAACTTTGAAGAGTCACTAAGTGAACTGTTCTAAGTCGAGGACTACCTGTACTTCATCACTTTTTTCCTTTTTTTTTTTTTTGGTCATCAAGTTTTTGACACCTTGCTAGGTGACGGGTCGTACTCGGATATTGCCATATCCTAAAAGTGGTACAATGGGTGAAAAAGTTGAAAAGCCCTGAGATCAGAGACATAGAATGCAGTACTGCATTCTAACTACTGTTTGGTGGCACAGTGGTTAGAATGCAGTACTGTAGGTACTTCTGCTGATTGCCGGCTGCCTGCAGTTCAGCAGTTCGATCCTCGAGGTTGACTCAGCCTTACATCCTTCTGAAGTCAGTAAAATGAGGACCCAGACTGTTGGGGGCAATATGCTGACTCTGTAGACCGCTTAGTCCAGCGGTTCTCAACCTGTGGGTCGGGACCCCATTTGGGGTCGAACGACCATTTCACAGGGGTCGTCAAACAATGCAGTCCGCCATTTTTTTCCCCCTTTTCCTTAGCTGTGCTACTCCCTTTTATTCTATTGGCTTTTAAGAGCCAATAGAATAGACTCTCTTGAATAGAGTCTAATTCTATTGGCTTTCAAAAGCCAATAGGAATTGTCCAGGCTGTCTCTGCCCTGATGAGCTCGCCAAAAGTCCCATTCTGCAAACGGTGCTGCACCAGTGGAGTAGTCCTTGACTTACGACTGGTTGAGTAGTCCTCGACTTACGACCGGTTGGGGGTTTGTGGCATTAAAAAGATTGAGAACCACTGGCTTAGAGAAGGTGTCAAGGTTAAATTGCTAAGATGCTTGCTAATCCCTGTCGCTACTCAACTGCCATAGAAATGGGGGAGGAAGAATCTGGGAAAGAAATGGGACCAGGCTGTGAGACCAAGGTCGCAAAAGCAGGTGTTTGACAGAGAAGTGGATCGTAAGAGATGTGCTTTCAGACTTGCAAGATTCTTTTATAGGTGGTCCTCAAGTTACAGCCACAATGGAGCCTGCCTAGGTTATAGGTCATAAACAGTCGTAAAATCGTATCTTAGCATGTAGTACCCAGATGTACAGGTTAAATACAGTTAACCTTTGTTTAGCAAATTTAGTTGGGTCCAGCAACTCAGTGGTTAAGCAAAGTGGTCACTAAGTGAAACCGCAACTGTGCTTATGATCTTACCTCAGCTTTCTTATGCTTTACAGGCCTATAAATGTCATTGATCATAAATGCCGGTTTCAGGCAAAAAATGGCAATAAATGTCATTGGAGAACCAAGATTCGCTTAACAATCATGTGATTAGATAGATAGATGGATGGATGGATGGATAGATAGATAGATAGATAGATAGATAGATAGATAGATAGATAGATAGATAGATAGATAACCTATATTGTCATTTTTTACTGTGGGCACAATGGCACACATTAAAAATGAAATTTAGTTGCTTGCTCTCAAAGTGTACACATACATACCACACATTTAAACATACTATACATAACATATGCATAGATCTACACCCTTAACATATAAGTAACATATAAATATTAATCACTGTCCATCTTGAATACATAACGGAAGGAGAAAGCTTTAGAGTTCACAAGGTTAATACTGTATGTAACAAAACTGTGACTGATTTGCTTACTGTGACTGGTAAAAATGGTCACAAAATTGGGGTCTGATGTCCTATTGACTCAACATATGACAACACTGACTTATGACCAAAATTCCAGTCCCAACCGTGGTTGTAAGTAGAGGATTACCTGTGTTTGTTAAGAAATGAAGCTAGCAAGGCTGGGTAGAACAGTCTCTGGCCAGAAACAGAACCATGGTCCGTCCATGTGGTGCCTTCCATGGCCATCAAGAAAAAGACCAAGCATCTGTTGACTTGGAAAGTCAGTGGAAAAAAGCCTAGAATTTAAACCCAGAACTTTAGATCTATATAGGGACTTTGATTTCTACACCTGCCAATGGATAAATCTGTGACTCTGTGGCTTCATTCTTATCCAATGAATAGACTTAAGTTTGCTGAGGCAAGTCTGTAAACTTTATGCCAACTATCCCATTCCTGAGTAAGGGATTAAGTATCCGGAGAGACGAGAATTAAAAGTTCTGCCTGGGGGGAGCATAACCAATTACACCCCTTAACTAACTCCCTTATATTGTCTATAATGAGTCAGCAGACCTTCATCTTTCTGCCTTTTCAAATTTAATTTTGCTGTTCTGCCCAAAAGAACCGTTAGTCCCCGAGTTGCAACCATTCATTTAGTGACTGTTCAGAGTTACAACAGCCCTGAAAAAAGTAACTTATGACTGGTCCACAGGGGACTGTCGGAAGCATCCCCATGGTCATGTGATCAAAATTCGAGCACTTGGCAACTGGCATGCATTTGCAATATTTGCAACGTCTTGAGATCCTGCGATTCCCCCTCTGTCACCTTCCCAGTGGGGGAAACCAAATTCGCTTAACAGCCATATGGTTCATTTAACAACTGCAGTGATTTGCTTATCAACCAAAGATTGTAAAATCCGGTATGACTCACTCAAATAATCATCTAGCGTAGCCATAGTAATTCTGGCCCCAATTGCTGTTTTAAGTTGAGGACTGCCTGTACTGAAGTCACACAAAAAGAGCAAGAAGCTATAGAATAGGAAGGGACCTTGGAGATCTTCTAGTCCAGCCCCCTGCTCAAGCAGGAGGTCCTATAGTACCATTCTAGATAAGTGACTGTCTAGTCCAGGGGTTCTCAACCTTGGCAACTTTAAGACTTGTGGACTTCAACTCCCAGAATTCCTCAGCCAGCAAAGCTAGCTGAGGAATTCTGGGAGTTGAAGTCCACAAGTCTTAAAGTTGCCAAGGTTGAGAACCCCTGGACTCTAGTCTCTTCTTCTCAACCAGAATTTACTAACTTTTAAATCGAAGTGGAGGATCGCGATCCATAATTTAACAAAATAATAATACAGGAGCTGCTCACCATCTTTCTTTCTGGGCAGGATTTCTACAGCCACAGTAACTGGGTAGAACTGGGAAATGAAAGAATACTTCTGCATTTGGTTCAGCCGGGCCACGAAATTCCCCCTGTCGCTGAAGGTATGGATCGGATGCAATTTTTCTCTTTTACCTGAGTTTGCCTCAACATGAAATCGAGTATTGTTAGTGGGAATCAGCCCCTGATTCACTCAGAGGAGCCTGTTCCCAGCAATGTTTAAAATAATTACCAAGCTGCCAAGAGAAATACAAATAATACAAATAATCCTTGACTTACAAGCAGTCCCTTAGCAACCGCTTGAAGTTAACAATGACACTGAGAATTTATTGATTTAGCTTGTTTGTTTATTTGGTCAATTCATGTAGCTGCCCATATCAGCGAATCATTTGGGGAGGTGAACAATATTTAAAATAAAATTAGAATCCCAGCTACAAAAACTGAAATACTTAGCAGCCGAGAGAAGTATGGGTAATCCTTGACTTACAACCATTGATTTAGTGACCATTTGAAGTTAACAATGACACTGAAAAAAATTGACTTACAAACAGTCCCCACAGCATCCCCAAGGTCATGTGATCAAAATTCAAGCGTTTGGCAACTGGCATGTATTTATAATGGTTGCAACATCCCGAGATCACGTGATCACCATTTGCGACCTTCCAAGCTGACCTCTGACAAGCAAGTCAATGGGGTAAAGTTGGATTCACTTAATGATGACAAGCTTCACTTAACAACTGCAATAATTCGCTTAATAGCTGCAATAATTCGCTTAACAACTGTGGCAAAAAAAAAAAAAAAGGTTGTAAAACTGGTCATGACAAAAGTTGGGGAAAGTTGGCATAAAGAGCCCCGGCGGGTGCAGTGATTAAAGTGCAGTTATTGCAGCCAAACTCTGCCCATAGCCTGGAGTTCGATTCCGACGGGGCTCAAGGTTGACTCAGCCTTCCATCCTTTTCTGAGGTTGGTAAACTGGGGACCCAGATTGTTGAGGGCGATATGCAAATAATGCTTCTGTATTGTAAACCTCCCAGAGAGTGCAGGAAAGAGCTATGGAGGGATAGACATGTCTAAATGCTATTGTTATTGCTATTGCAAGATTGTGTAAAGTGAAAGAGGGGAGAAAGTGGAACTTGCATTCATCAGTCCATTTATGCTGAGACCAAGGAGGGTCTCGGGATCCCCCCTTCTCTCCTTTTTTTAATTCCATGGTATTTCTCTTGTGCCTTCTCAGCTGGCATCCAGACTTGCCACGACTGCTCTGAATGGACTTGCAAAGAAAATCTCCTGGACAATCTTGCTGTTCTCACCACGGGTTACTATGGTTCCCATCCCGAAAAGCCTATTGGTATGTTTTTGTTGCCAGTGGAGGGGAAGAAAAAAAAAAGACTCTGTTTGGAAGCCAGGGAGATTTTTTTTCTCCCCTTAATACTATCAAAGCCCAAAGTCTCATTTGTATTCTTCTTGCATCCTTAGAGAGTTGACGCTAAAATCTGTAAGAAGGCGAAAATCAGCTTTGGCATGGCTTTGAGAATTTTATTCTCCCAAATGTGTTTCTTTGAGATGTTCTCTCCATCATCTGCCTGCTTTATTTATTTGGTGTCTGGTGTGTGTCTGGTGTGTGTGTGTGGGTGTGTGTGTGTGTGTGTGTGTGTGTGTGAAAGAGAACACTTTTATAGCAAGTTCCACTTATTCCTGTGGAACTGGAGAGAATCAGAAGGCCTTTTCATAGTTAATTGATGGGGAGATGAATGAATCTTTTCTGCTTTAGGATTTGGAGGGGGGGCTGTAAAAGCTTAGTGAAGCCTCCCATATTGTTTCTCTGACACAGGAAGAGAGAAAAATAAAATAATGGAAGCCCGTAGCAATAAAGCTTTCTGGATCAGTCCAAATAAATCAGTTTCTTTATCATTCCATCTTCACAAAAAAAATCTATGGTGTTTTTTTTTTTAATGGAAGAAAATCCTTTTGTTTGTTTGTTTGTTTGTTTGTTTTACACAAAACATATGCACCTAGTGCAGAATTGCTGAAAGGTTTGGCAGGCAAGATGCAATTATAGAGCAGAGAATACCTGTGGCTAACAGACCCCATAAAGATGATGTGACAGAGTTCATATTGGTAAGAGTCTGGGAGGTTTAAAACAGCATTTTAAAAAAACCCATATAAATGGTTTTATAAAAAAGCAGAGTTTTCTTCAGAAATGGTATTATTCCATCCTTCTCCACCTTTGCAAATGAAGATGCCAGGCTGACACTCTTTTTTCGTCCTTCCTGTCTGCTCAGGGAAGTGCAGTCATGGTGGGAGGTTTGATGAGAGTCGCCATCAAGAACCTCGAGGTGGCATTAATAAGGACAGTGCCTCCTCGTTCTTCTCACCTCACCATTACCTGCACCAGAAGGCAGCTCTGCTGGCCCAAGAAGCCTCCATACACTTCCTGGAGAAGTTGTGGCGAGAAATAGGGAGCAGGGAATTTATGAGGTAATATAGTCCATTCTTTAAGGTTCTTACAGTTTTCACCTGTGGAAATGTTCTTAATGGAGGCTGGCCATAGGCAGCCCCATGGCCATTTTTAATGACATCTCCAGAATTTCCTCTGATTCATTAGTCCCGAAATTAGGTATAGGACCATTTTACATTGATTTTACACTGATCTAGATTGGACCCACTGGGGAAAATTAGAAACATCATAAATGATGAGATTTATATGCTGCCTATCTCACAATAGAGCGACCCTTAAGAAATTAAAAGACCATATGTATCACTCTTGTGGTAAGCAGCATTATGTAAAGTGGCCGAAATTACAGGGGTGAAATGAGGCAAAAGAACCAGAATACATAGTTAAAACTAGTTTTCACCAATTTCACCTGCCATAAATTTCTATCTTTGCCAATTACCCTTGATTCTAAAGACTGATTCATGCATTTTCTTCTCCATCATATTTTCTCATCTCCTTCCTCACAACCCATTGGCTGTTCTTTTACTTGTTTGTTCTGTGTTTTAATTCTCATTTGCTTTCTCTGTGTAACTAAACCACATGAATGTTCCTCTTTCATCCTTGCTTTTGTATGAATCCACATTCTTTCATCACTCATTCATTTTTAAGCCTTTCTCTTCTCGTTTCAATAAGCACATTTCTTAACTACTCCTTTCCCATCGCATTCAAATTACTTTCTCCCGACAATCTCAATTTTCATTTACACATAACAAAGCAAGCAGAAGTGTCCTTTTATATCCAGCTGTCTCAGCTTCTTTAAACAAACATTAATTACTCACATTTTCAGTTCTCTTGACAATCATTAATTCCTTATGATAGGCCACATGCTGTCTAATGCTCTAAAAATTTCCTATTCCTTAATTCCAAGTACCTGTCAGACAAGCCCATCTTGATCTTCCAGATATTAATTTTCAAATCTCTTCTTTGCACTATACAGTTTAACAATTGCTGTAAGTCAATAGAGACAATAGCCAACAAGCTAGCATTGACTGAATACAACAATACACACAGCAATACACACACATACATGTTCCATTTTAAAGTGTAATTTTTATTAAGTGTTATTACAAAACATATAAGAACTAATGTAAACTAATAAAGAACAGAAGCAGGAAAGGAAAAAACAGAAGAAAAGAGGAAAGAAGGAAGGAAGGAAGGGAGAGAGAGAGAGAGAGATAGAAAAAGAAAGAAAGAAAGGAAGGAAGGAAGGAGGGGAAATAAGGAAATAAGTAAGGGAGGGAGAGGAGGGGAAAAGGAAAAGAAGTAAAGAAGGAAAGGCAGGAAGGAGAAAGAGAAAGAAATAGAAAGAAAAAAGGAAAGGAGAAGGAAGAGAGAAAAAAGGAAGGAAGGTAGAAAAGAAAGAAAGGAAGAGAGGAGAGGAAGGAAAGGAAGAAGAAAAAATAAGGAATGGAGAAGAGATAGGAAAAGAAAAGAAAGAAAGAAAAAGAGAAAGAAAGACAGACAGAAAGAAAGAAAGAGAAAGAAAGAAAGAAAAAAGAACATTGAAGGCCTTCCCACTGTACATTTCCAAAGATCCATACTGGTTCATTACACTAAGCCACCCTTCGTTGTATAAAGCACAATTGGTTGTTTTTCCCTAGTCTGGTAAGCTGTAATCCTTATTTTACAGAACAGAATGACTAAGCTTACATAACATGCTAAGCCTACACAACATATATAACGTACTAAGCCAGCCCCAAATAAACCACATTATCTCTTAGCATCGTGTATGAATTTGTCCTAAAGAATCATTGCTAACACATAATCCACACTATTTTGTTTGAAGGTTGCTAGATATCAGCCCAACCGCAGGCCTGAGCTTTGTTATGGATACCACGGGAAGTATGGGGGAAGAGATCAGCGCTGCTAAGTTTCAGGCACGGGAGATCATCGAACGGCGTCAAGGCACCCCTCAACAGCCAGATTTTTACCTCTTGGTGCCTTTCCACGATCCCAGTAAGATTACGAAGACAGTCTCTTTTTTAGTTGAATTTCATTTTTTATTCTACTGTATTTCTTGCTTGTTAACTTTGTCCCCAGCGTTACAGCTAGTAAAATACAATTAAAAGTGCAGAATACAAAATAAAGCATAAAAGGGGACACATTGAGAGAAATAGCAAACTGCAACAGATAAACAAGGATGACAGAACTTCTGGTTATTTAACCGCAGACGTTGGTGAATAAAAACGTCTTTGCCTTCTGGAAGATAGACTTTGGAGATGAGACTCTTGTTGCAATGATTTGGGAACCCTTCTGGGATTTCTGATCACCAAGCTTTGGATGTTGGCAGAACAGAAAGAGAGATCTGTCCCAATGATCTAAAATCTCAGGGAAGCTGATGTGAAAAAAAATATGTTTGTGTGTGTGGGAGTTTCCCTGTAAGATTCTAATTCAGTTTCTCAAAAAGTGTAACACCACCAATGGTAATATTAATTACAATAAATCACCGTAAAACATCAGGATAAGAATTGAAATTCTAAAATGGTTTTCCAAAATGTCTTGGAAAATATAAAGGTTTTCACCTGCAGGGGACAGTCAATCAATGTTTCATATACTGAAATGCTAAGAATTAATATCAGATCTTTTGATCTGATATTCTCGCTTTCTCTGCTTCTTCTCGCTTGCTCTTTTTCCCCCTCTCTCTCCCTGCTTTCTCTCTCCCTCTCTCCTTTCCTTCTCCTCTCCCTCTCTCTCCTTCTCCTTCTCTCTCCCTTTCCTCTCCCTATCCTTTTCTCTTTCCCCATCTCTTCCTGTCTCTCTCCCTTTCTTCCTTTCCTCTCCCTCTCCTTTTCTCTCTCCCTCTCTCTTTCTCCCTCCCTCTCTCCTTTCCCTCTTCCTTTTTCGATCTCTTTCCCTCTCTCTCTCTCTCCCTCTCCCTCTCTCTCTCTCCCTTTCTCTCTTTCTCTTCTAGGTTTTGGACCAGTCAGTAAGACCAGTGACCCTGAAGAATTCTGGAAAGTCTTAGACACCATCAGCCCATTGGGTGGTGGAGATGAGCCTGAAATGTGTCTGTCAGCCTTGGAGGTAGCATTCATGAAACACCCTTTATTGCTGCATGATTTTATAGATCAGAAGTTCTCAAACTGCGATCCATACAAACTCCATTTAGAAAACCCAGAGAAAGATTGGGAGGGGTGAGAATCAAAATATTGGATCTCCAGTTGATTGATGGATTTCTGAGGATGGCATTTTTAAGCTATTTTGACCAGGACTTGATTATTAAATGCATGGTGAAAAAAAGAGAGAATCTCTTCAATCTAGAAATAAGATTTTTTTTTCTGACACTGAGAACAATTAACCAATGGAACAATTTGCTTCCTGGAGTTGTGGGGGCTCCATCGCTGGAGCTTTTCAAGAATACACTGGACAACCATTTGATTGGGATGGTATAAGGATCCTGCCTTGAGCAAGGGGTTGTACCAGAAGACCCTCAAGATCCCTTCCAGCCCTATGATTTTATGATTCTAAAAATCCTAACTGGATGAGTGTGCCCCTTCCATAATGTAATTGAGGTGCAATCTATTCTCTTTAAAAAAACAACAACAGCTGAAATAAGTCTTTCAATAGCTGATCAAAGTAGGGATCTTGATTTTCATAATGTTTGGTTGATGATTGATTGATTGTGCACCATCAGGTTGGATGTTGACTGTAAAAAACCACATAGATAGGCTTTCTCCAGAACGATCTTTCCCCACCCCGACCTTGAAGTCTCCCAGTAATGTATCCACCAACACAAGCATGCTGAAGTCCATCTGCCTTGCTGCTGGTGGTCCTTTATCCTGTCTTTTTGCCAACAATGTCAAGCATGTTATTTTTTTTTATAAAAAAATGTTATCTGCCACAGTAGCAGCCTTCCAATATCTAAAGGGCTAAAGAAGAGGGAGTCAAGCTATTCTCCAAAGCACTGGTGGCAGGCCAAGAAGGAATGGATGGAAACTAATCAAGGAGAAAACCAACCTAGAACTAAGGAGGAATTTCCTGACAGGGAGAACAATCAACCAGTGGGATGACTTGCCTTCAGAAGTTGAGGGTGCTGCAACACTGGAGATTTTTAAGAAGAGATTGGACGGCCATTTGTCTGCAATGGTATAGGGTCTCCTGCTTCAGCAGGGGGTTGGATTAGAGGACCGCCAAGATCCCTTCCAATTCTGTTACTTTCTTCTGTTAAATATCATACGTGGTGGATATAGATGAATCTTCCTTGTCTTTCTCTTTTCCACATAGCTTGCCCTGCAGAATTCACCACCCTATTCTGAGATCTTTGTCTTTACCGATGCATCTGCTAAAGATGCTCATCTGAAGAACAGTGTGGAATCCCTTATTCAGGAAAAGAAGTGCAAGGTCAGCCGAGCCTCTTACATTTATATTAAAGTTCCCTCTTGGGTATATTTCTTTCCAGTTGTATAGCATACCAGTGCAAACTATGCCAGCCTCTTCCGCCTAATATCCTAGAAAATTTTGTACTAGAAAATTTTGTACTAGGGTGTAACTGCAATGCTGTGGTTACAGAACCAGGGTTGTGGATGTCTGGTGGGGATGTGGCAGCAGGAGGGAATGATGGTATGTGTGTGATTGCATCATCACACAAGTATTGCAACTTACCGTGTTTCCCCAAAAATAAGCCCTATCCCGAAAATAAGCCCTAACTTGATTTTTTTTTGTGGTGGGCCTAATATAAACCCTACCCCAAAAATAAGCCCTAGTTTTGGGATAAGGCGCATGCCTAAAAATCTAGCTAGGGTGGGGGTAGGGCAGGTGGAGCTGCCCCACGCGCCCTGCACCTGTTTACCTTACTGGTAGGACTGCCACAGGCAGGCCTCCCACACCTCGAAACCTGTCACGCCACATGGCTTGTCGCGCCGGTGCTGCTCCTTGCGGCAGAACACCAAGCAGTGGCAACGGCCCAAAGCACCATGCGGCCTCCTGCAAACAGCCCAAAGCACCGCGCAGCCTCCTGCCACGACTGGCGGCACTGGCATGAAACTCTAGGCGGCGTCCTGCCACAACCAATGGCGCTGGCACAATATGCCACATGGCATTCGGCTGCAAGTGGCAGCAAGTGGCCACTGAAGTAGTCAGGCAGCAGCGCGACAGGTGTCGGAGTGTGGGAGGCCTGGCTGAGGCAGTCCTAAGGTAAGACATCTCACCAAAATAAGACCTAGTTCCTCTTTTTGAAGCAAAAAATATAAGACCGGGTCTTATTTTGGGGAAAACACGGTAAATACTTGCATCCAATGGGACACAAGTATGTAGTGGCAGCAGTTGGGTGCAGACATCACTGTGGGCATGTTAGCACAGCATTTTCCAACTTGACAATTTGAATATGTTGGGATGGGGAATTCTGGGAGTTGAAGTCCACATGTCTTCAAGTTGCCAAGGTTGAGAAACACTGTTAGCATATTTAATTTAGGACTAGGAAGAACAGGAGTCAAGTCCATCCTTATTTATGGAAGGTTTTCTGGGACCAATGAGAATCTTTCAGCCCCATCTAACTGATGGAGGGGTGATTGTGGGAAACAAATTGGAGGAAAAGATGTATGTCACCTCAGACTCCTAGCAGAAAGGTTGAAGGTAAATCTTATCACAAAATGAAAACAAAAAACAATGAATGGTATAATCCAGAATGGTATATTCTCTCCCCAGCCACTATTTCCAAATATGTTGCTGTTTTCATGCAAAATTGATTCATATTTCTAAACTATTTTGGTCCACACATTCTGTATTTAGAATATTCTGTACAGGTTGCCCTCAGCTTATGACTACAATTGAGCCCAACATTTCTCCAAAATAAGAGAACTCTCTAAATGAGACACTTATTGAGTTTGTCCCATTTTACAACTTTTCTTGCCATAATTATAAGTGAATCACTGCAGTTGTTTTAAGTTGTAAAGTGAATCTGGCTTTCCCGTTGACAGATTGCCATAGAAGGTAATCACATAACCCCAGGACACTGCAACTGTCATAAATATGAGTCAGTTGCCAAGCATCTGAATTTTGATTATCCCTGCGAATGCTGCAATGGTCATAAGTATGAAAAATGGTCATAAGACATTTTATTCAGCGCCATTGTAACTTTGAACGGTCACTAAACAAACTGTAGTAAATCAAAGACTACCTGTATTCTAGAATCTAGATCCTAAGCCTGGGACTCTTGCTTTCTCAATATCAGGTAACCTTCCTAATCACAGAAGACCCATCCAAGACTCGAACGAAGCGGGAAACACTTGCCCCAAACCGATTCGACTTGTACGTTCACTTAGCTGAGAGTTCAGGAGGCCAGATTATATTTACAGACAACGATAACATCCGGCGGATGGCTGAGATTATTGGCGAATCCAGCTTATCTTCGGTAATAGCAAGGTGCATGTGTGTATATGTTTATGTATACTTTGCCCATACTAGTCAAGGGACCACAATTTCTGTTACTAAGCAAGGTGATTGTTAAGTGACTCATGCCTAATTTTATGACCTTTTTTGCCGTGGGTCTTAAGCAAAGCACGGCATGTAGGAGATGACCAGGCTACTCCTGAGGGTGGGGTCAAATGTATCATCAGTCTTGAGTCCCTTCATGCCCACAAGAGATCTAAGCTCAGTCCACCTTGAATTCTTATCTGCCGCCAATTTGCTTTGACCGTTAGTTTAGATTCTTGCAGAGAACTCCAATAAACCTTTATATTCATTTGAACTGCCTGGATTTTTTATTTCCTCAGTGCTTGACAGTGCAGTTGTTAAGTGAATACAGCTTCCCCCACTGACTTTTCTTGCTGGAAGCTGACTAGGAGGGTCACAAATGGCAATCACATGATCCCAGGATGCTGCAATTTTTATAAATATATGCAGGTTGCCAAGCGTCAAAATTTTGATCAGGGGGGATGCTGTAATGGTTGTAAGTGCAAGGACCAGTTGCAAGTCACTTTTTTAGTGCCACTGTAACTTCAAATGGTTGTAAATCAAGGACTACCTGTAAACATTTTAAGGGAGATCCTGTTTAGCTCATTATTAGATGACAGCTCTGTGCTGTTATTTTTTTGGATTGGTCAGACTTTGAAATAATTTCAGTTGTGCTTTTTGTTCTGGTTTTTTTTTTTTTTTTTGCAACTTATACTAAAGTGGTAGTATTTTTCATTCATCATAACAGTATTGGAATCACCTGCTGCATTATTATACAATCCTAATATTTAGAAGCAGTGGTATGGGGTAGTCAAAACAAAAATCAAGATTGTGGGCATGACCATACCCGGTGCCTTTACATGACACATATAAAAAAAAGGTATGGCTTTGAACACATGATCACAATTGCCATCCCCATAGATGCCCCTGTTTTGAAGTCACCTTACCTCCTTTATTGCCATTGTCACTGGTTATAGATAGTCCTTGACTTATGACCACAATTGAGCCCAACATTTGTTGCTAAGTGAAACAATTATTAAGTGAGTTTGCCCCTATTTTATAGCCTTTCTTGCCACAGTCGTTCAGTGAATTACTGCAGTTGTTAAGTTAGTAAAACTTAAGTTAGTAAACAATGGCGTCCCCATTGACTTCGTCTGTCAGATGGTCACAAGTACTGCAACCATCAGTGGAGGGAGGGAGGAAGGGAGCTTTCCACATTTGGTAACCCTTGACTGATGGAAAGTATCCTATTTTTCTAGGTGACTCTCTTTCGTTACCAGAAAGGAAACGTCTTGAGATCTAAAGGGACTCAACGCAGGACAAAGAAGCAGGCTCCCCAGTTGGTAAAGCACCAGTTCTGGATTGACAGTTTGGTGGACCATGTGGTTGTGACCATCCAAGGCTCTGTGGAATTCTTTGAAATAAGGGACCCTACAGGTAGCGATCTGTATTCACTCTTATATTGATTTGTTTTCATGTTTTAGGTCTTGTACTTGTCACAAATGCTTTTATATTTGCAAAGTGCTTCTTTAGTTTGTGAAGGAACAAATGGAGTCTATGGTTAAGATGCTGGATTAGCGCCGGGGAGATCAGAAAAAAAGAGGAGAGAATGCTATATATTTCACCTTACGTTCTGTACAAAAATGTGGATCATAAGTAGTCCTCAACTTATGAATGGTTGCTTAGCAGCCATTTGAAGTTATGAAAAAAAAACTACTTACAACTCAGATTCAAATTTCTGACGCCCTCTCCCCTTTTCACATGATCACATGTTGTGTGATCAGCCATTGGCCCACATTTATGGCCTTTTGCATTCCACAGTCATGTAACCATATTTTACAATGGTTTTGTTCAAAACTAGCATTTACTTCCAATTTGTGAGAAAACCAGCCGGTAGCAAAATATAGATATGCTTAACAACCGTGGCATTCATTTTATGACTGCAGCAGTTACTTTACAACCACAGCAAAAAATGTCATAACATTGAGTCAGTCAACTGGGTGACCCATTTTTACAATTATTATGACTTACAACAGGTGTCTTCAGATTTGGCCCTTTTATGATTTGTGGACTTCAACTCCCAGAATTCCTCAACCAGCATGCCTGGCTGAGGAATTCTGGGAGTTGAAGTCCACATGTCATAAACAGGCCAAGTTTGAAGACCCCTGACTTACAACCATAATGGGCAAGCTCCATTATAGTCATAAATCAAGGACCATCTGTATAATTATTATTTATTTTATTTATCAAACAGATTTCTATCCAACACAATTAATAAAACATTCTTGGTAACTTATATAGAATAAATAACACATTTAAATATTCACGGTAGAATCTATAGAACTTACAGTAACAATTAAAAAACAATAACACTAAACAACATAAAAAATACAAGAATATTATCAGACTAGAAGATAAAAATGAGGCCATGCCAAATTGACAAAAAGTGGGGGGAGGGGTCAATCTAATTTTCAAAGGGAGGCAATTACACATGTTAGCTTATATGGAGAAGCCGTGATAACATGCTTCAGAAATGAGGAATATTTAGCAGTTTCTTCCCAATAGCTCTCATTGATTGAGCCAGAAATAGATCCAGGCTTTGTAAGGTGTAAACCAGTGCTTGAACTAGAACCTGAAAATCAACTGGTAACCAATGCAAGGCTGTGAAACTGGGGTTACATATTCCTGGGAATCCAGATTACATTCCACCACAACTGTAGAATGCTGCTACCAGCCATAAAGGTGAAATGTGAGTGGGGAGGATGGTGCCACCATTGGAACTCTGGAATCAGTTGTAAGTATCTGTTGGGGGGGGGGTCCATCATAACTTTGAATGGTTACTAAATGACCAAATTATTAATCAAGGCGTCACAGTTCTGATAGATGAGACCGGTAGAAATAAGAACTCCGAAGCAATTGTTTTCCTCAAAGAATACATTCAATGACTACATAGTATCGTCACAAACAAAGGTGAAACCAACATTGAAAGTTTCCCCCCAAGGTTACGCTATAACCTTGGTTATAGCATGACCTTGGTTCCCACCGGAAAGTTATTGTTACGACTAAGCTAGAAGAATACATCTTCCCCCCTCCCATTGCTGTGGCAACTGAAAATGAAGTGAAGATGGCTGCAGCCAGAATCATTTGAAGATTGACACAAGGACTGTCTGTACTTCAATTTATATCTTAAAAACCACTGATGTTCTTCCCATCCTTTTTTGTACAGATAGATTCCAAACTGATGCGACAATTCATGGTCCCCTAGCAAAGATCCAGTCCATTGGTGGAATTTATAGAGCATTCCTTTCTGCTCCTGTCCATCCTGGTGAATGGACTTTGAAACTTCAATCCAAAAGGCATTATTCAGTTTACATTCAAGGTGAGAAATGGGTTTAAACTGGGCTCTTGGGCCAACAGGACCAGTCCTTCCATTAGATATAGTGGCATTGATCTCAGCTCAATAGGTTGTGTCCTCCAGTGTAAAGCTGCAGTACTCTTCTATCATTCCAGATTCATTTAACAGGTCAATTCTAAACATTAAGTGTTGAGGGTAAACAAAGGCAGACCAATTGGTGGGTCCTGATACATAATGGAAATGTCATATTCTGTGTGTTGAATGAAGAAAAGGTAGCATTTTCAATCTTTAAAAAACTGTACTCTTCAACTTCCTAATCCATTGCTGGTCATGACAATAGTAATAGCAATAGCACTTAGACTTATATACCACCCCATAGTGCTTTATAGAACTCTCTGAGTGGTTTACAAATGTTAGCATATTGCCCCCAAACAATCTGAGTCCTCATTTTACTAACCTCAAAAAGCTGGAAGAATAAGTCAATCCTGAACCCTGTCGGGATTGAACTCTAGGCTGTGGGCAGAGTTAGCCTGCAATACTGCATTCTAACCAGTGCACCAACAGGGCTCTGTGGGATCTGGTTTTAAAATATATGAATGTTTTGACAGGTCAGAGCACCCTCGATTTCTTGTATTATTTTGCTGTTCCTGCTGATGGACGTCACCCAGGGTTATTCAGGCTGGATAGTCCTCCTGTTGAAGGTAAATACAGAGATTGTTTCTGTTCAGAAGATCCATGTTTTTACACAAAATAGAAATCTCTATGTAATGGTAGCCTTCCACTACATATTTGGCAATCATAGCTGACTGTGGTAGAATGTAGTCTGGATTCCTGGGAGAGAGGGAAGGAGGGAGGGAGGGAAGGAGGAGCTGCATTCCAGAGGACCAAGAGACAGCAAAGTTGGATAGTTTATTTGTGAGAAAGAGGGTCAAATAGCTCCTCCATAGAAGTTCTCAGAACATATCTTTAATGATGGAAGTAGTTCCTTTTAGTCTGACAAGATTCTGTCTATGAGTAACACTAAAGAAAACTGTTTACAAGTCACTCTGCACATCTTTCTTGGTTTTTGGAGTCTGACAGTTATCTCTGAAGGATGTGAACTTATGGGAAATTAACCCCCAATTTGTACCATCATAACTTAGCTTTAGAAATCATTTCCTTCTGACATTGTGCTTTTAGATGAGGCACTGATTATTCAGTCATCTGTCCCAACTTTTTTTTGTCTTTCTCTTCATCAGTGTTCTTTCCTATGCTAGTTCCATTTTTTCCCTCTTTTCAGAAAATAATAATCTCTGAAGCAGAAAAAGTTGGCATTTTTTGCACTATGTCTTTTGATTATTAAGGTTGGTAGATGTGGAAGTATTCATAATCTCTGCTGCATCTTATTTTTCATCTAAGTCACAGAGACAGCAATGCTAGAGTGTCGCCTTGCCATCATTTTCTCATCCTTCTTCTTTCCACCTTTCGAGCTGATCTCATAAAAACATATGAGAAATACAGGATGACTTGAATTTGGGAGAGAAATTTACAGATGTTCATCCCTGTCTGTGCTATGATGCTTTGAGCCTGCACGTCATTGTGGAATGAAAGAAGAACCACATCAGCGTTGCTTGAATTCCCCATTTTAGAAAATAGAACATCCACAAATGAATTCTCCCTGTGACTATATAGGACAGACGGGGAGGAAAATAACCACCAGATTGCAAGAACATAAGCAAGCGGTCAAACAAGGAGAATCAAAATCATTGGTAGCCTCACATTGCAATAAACAAGGACATATATTCAATTTTGCAGCTACTAAGATTGTTGGACGAGCAGGCACAAAAACAGCCAGGGAAGCAATTGAAGCCTAGGAAACAAGCCCCTCGTCAATCAACAGGAGTGCTGATTTACTCCCAGCTTATCAAGTATTTAAGAGGCGGGAGTTTGGCAGCACAAGGAAGCAACAGCCAACAACTTAATAGCCATCAACACCAACACAGTCTACATATAAAAAGCTACACGCAACAGTACCATATAAATACCACACACAGAACAGCCCAAAGCACACAGAGAAGTTCCCTGAGGATGGGCTCTAGTACGAGTCCAAAAGCTCGGGAGACAAAAACCTCTGGTCCCAGTAACCGACCCAGATTGGATCCTGCAATAGAACATCCAGTTGTTCCTTAGAACTATCTCCATCTTTAGTCTAAACACACACAAACACACACACGGTCTTTTAAGGTTAAGGATGAAAGGAATCAGGCACACCAGGTTCTTTAGAGATTGGATGTTTGGTACAGTTAACATTTGCTTTTCAACAGGTTTGCCTACCTACCTGGTTATAATGGCAATTGGTCTGAATCAGATTAAGTCAGGCTCTGTTCAGCTACAATCGGTGAACTTAGAAGCAAGAACAGGCAGCCTTGGGGAGTTAAAATTACAGAGAGGAGCCAATCGAACGGACTTGTTTATGGCCGAGCTGCCTCCAACTCTATCAACCGCCAACAGCTTTTCTATAGTGGTCCATGGAGTGGATGGTGAGGGCCAGAAGTTGGAGAGATCTGCTCCTCAAGTTGCAACTGTCACAGAATCCCTCCTAGAGGTAAGGGGAAAGCCGAGGAGGACAATTTGGGGCATCTTTCTGTATTTTACAGCTGTATTTTACAGGTGTCTCCTTTTCCTGCCGTTACTATACTATAGACCAGGGTAGGCAACCTTGGCCCTTTTATGACTTGTGGATTTCAACTCCCAGAATTCCTGAGTCAGCATGGCTGGTTCAGGAATTCTGGGTATTGAAATCCACAAATCATAAAAGAGCCAAGATTGCCTACCCCTGCTATAGACAATTCTGTTTTGTAGAACCTGTCTCTTCTAAACATTTTGGATAGGGATGTCTGGGTTTGGGTGTAGTCCTTGACTTATGACTTAGACACTATTCAAAATTACAATGAGCCTCCCAAAAGGTACTTATGACCTGGATTTGAAGTTCCAATGGCCTCACTCCCCTGTGGTCACATGACTGCATTTTGGTTGCTTGGCGACCAGCCTACCTTTATGGCCACCCACAGGAACCTGCAGTTATGAGACTTCAATTTATGACATTTTTGCCAGAAACTGGCATGTACTTCTGGTTTCCAGCAAAAAACGCCCCATAGCTAACAATAGAGTAACTTTACAACTGTGGTGTTTGCTTAATGTTTGCTGCAAAAAGATTGTAAAATTTGGTGTGGTCGTGTGATGGTCCACTTAACAATTGCCTCGATTTACAACCATAACTGCAGGCTCAGTTACAGTCATAAATTGAGGAATACACATACTGATATATTTATATAACATACCTGTGTGTGTACATATACATACACATTCACATATATAAACATACACATATTTTAAAATCAATAAAATTAGTGAACTCCGGGATATAAAATAGCTTCTTTTATTACTGAGCTTTCGTCAACTAGCTGTTGATATCATCAGAGTAAGGGCTGAAAATAAGAAGAACTTACATATACCCTTGTGTGACCGTTTTAACGGTCAGGACATAGAATGTATATATAGCACGCTCACCATCCGCTTGCTCGCATTTAGTCTTAATAATTCGGGCTTTGATGTAAAAGCTAGTCTTGGTCTGAAATTCAAAAATCCTTCCTCCCAGCTGTTCGACGTGTAAATCTCGCTGCGCTGCGTGCATCCGCACATCAGTTCTTAGTGTCCTCGTGAGGTGTGCAATTTTTGAATTTCAGACCGAGACCAGCTTTTATATCAAAGCTGGAATTATTGAGACTAAATGCAAGCGAGCGGATGGTGAGCATGCTATATATACGTTCTATGTCCTGACCGTCAAAATGGTCACACAAGCGTACATGTAGGTTCTCCTTATTTTCAGTCCTTACTCTGATGATGTCAACAGCTAGTTGACGAAAGCTCAGTAATAAAAGAAGGCTATTTTATATCCCGGAGTTCATTAATTTTATTGATTTTAAAATGTCTACACCTGGGATTCAAATATTTAGAATTATGAAAGATACATACACATATACAATGTGTTTTATATCCCGTGTGGTTTGTGTGAATACTTTTTCTACAGGAAATCTTTGACAGCTAAACTAGATAGAATGGAGGTAGGCTTGAAAATCTAGATTAAGTTGCTGTCAGTCCCTTGGCGACTGTGGAGAGTCTCAAAACCACTTTTTCTAGTTTTGTTTCTTCTACCAGCAGGTGTTGCTGACCCAATATTATTGCCACAAATCAAAAAACAGCTTCTTACTAAGGACAAGAGAAATATGCTTAAACAGTCATGTCAGTTTTTGGTATTTTTTGCTCTCCAGTTCTGTACAGGTAGTCCTTGATTCACGACCACAATTTTTAACATTTTTAAATGAGTTTTGCTCCATTTTATAACTTTTTTTGCCACAGTTGCTAAGTGAATCACTGCAGTTGTTGAGTTAGTAACACAGTTGTTAAGGGAATCCAGAATGGGACAACTCGCCACAGCGAACTCGCTGCGGCCACCTCTCCATGACCAACTCACCATGGCCAACTCACTGTGGGACAATTTGCCACTTAATGAACTGTTATAAGTTGAGCTACATGTACAGTACCTGTGAGATGGCTTTCTGTGTTTTTTAGACTGCTTTTCTATTTCTCCATTTTCTGAGATTTTTCCTCTTCAGGATTGGGCCAATATGTTTCTCCCACTATCTGATATTGGTTTTAAAATCTGCTCCCTCAAATCTGTCCCTGATTGGCCTTCCTCGCTAATTAATGTTCATCTGAGTTGCCTTCTCTTTTTAAACTGACCTGCCAACAAATCTATCAGCAGAAATAATCTTTCCAGAGCAACTGCTTTGTGATGACTGTTTCTATCCCAGTTCTGTAACTTAAACCCTGATTTGTCCCAGCTGAGCAGAGAGACTCCTGTATTCCCAGGAAAACATGTTTCCATCTCTTGGAAAATCACAAATCCTGGTGCACCTAAAAGTTATGGACTGAAAGTGATCACCCTTCCTCGGATTCCAGCTGACATCTCTAATGCCAGGTAACTTTTCTAAGTGGCAATGATAAGCAACATTAGAAGGGTTTTTTCTCTCCTTATGTTGAGGCTTGATATACAGAATTTCCTGTCTATCTGCCTAGAGCAGGGTAGGCAACATTGGCTCTTTTATGACTCGTGGACTTCAACTCCCAGAATTCCTGAGCCAGCATGGCTCAGCTTGGAAACCTCTCCCTTTCCCCTCAGCATGGCTGGCTCAGGAATTCTGGGAGTTGAGGTCCATGAGTCATAAAAGAGCCAAGGCTGCCTACCCCTGTCCTAGAGTAAAGATGCTTTTGTTTCAAAATTACATTGCAGACAAGAACAGAATAGAACTTACTGCAGAATTGATGCATTTTTGGGGGGGAAGAACAACTAATGCTTAATGTCTGTGGAGATGCTCAGCCATCCAGTCATTCATGGTTGTTGTTTTTTCAAAAGACAACTGGATGATGTTTTTTCCTTAAGGAAGAAGAGGTTTTACTTCATCAGTTCTGAGGAAGCTTCTTGGATGAGAAGCTACAGGTCTTCTTCCTCAAGGAAAAAACGTAGTCCAGTTGCCTTTTGAAAAAAAAGCACCTTTGAAACTACTAATGGTTAAGTTTTTAGAGATCGGGCTGGATGCGTTTGGACATTGTTTGATGAAATACTAGCAACTTTATTTCTAGGTATCTAAGGTAAGTTTTCAGAGTTCTGCACAATTCTTTGCCTTCCTATGTTGGTAGCGAAAACATGAGCCATAGAAAATTAGGATTCATACAACCACTCCTTAGTAATAAAGATGAAGAACATTTTTTTCTGACTTGGACATGTAATTTTTATTACTCTCTCAAAAGTACCGTATATTCTGGCGTATAGGGCGACCCGGCGTATAAGACGACCCCGTAGTTCGATGCCGGGTCGCAAGATGATTGACGCCGAGTCGCAAGACCATCGACGCCGAGTCACATGCCTAGAAAGTTGTCTTGTATGCCGGAAACTACGTTATTTCCGGCATATAAGACAATCGATGCCGAGTCGCATGCCTAGAAAGTCGTCTTATACGCCAGAAACTACCTTATTTCCAGCATATAAGACGACTCGGCGTATAAGACGACCCCCGAGTTCGGAGGCTGTTTCGATGCTCTCAAAAGTCGTCTTATACGCCGGAATATATGGTATACAGTTGGTTGCATATATTTCCCATTGCTTTGTCTCTTTTTATAGATCTTTATATTTCTTCATAGGAAAGGCAGTATATATAGAACTCCAGGTTCTCTCCATCCCATCCCCTAACAGACCCACTCAGCACCTGTCCTCAAAGCCTGTCCTTAGGCCATAAACACACCTTTGCATTCCATTAAAGCAACTTCTCCCAAAATTTCCCAGCCAGACATCTTAAATTTGCTAGGTTGAGAAACACTGCAGTAAAGGGAACCTGTGACCCACTAATATGGGACTTAACTGCTTTCTGCATTTTTCTCCTATGCCCATCTTGGATGGGGACTGTGGTTCAGTAATAGGTAACGTACCACAGGCCACCTATCTTACTCCTTGTAAGGAATGTATGCTTTTCCTGCAGGTGGCTCCAGATTCAGTTACTTGGGGGGAAGGTTTCAGATGGCCTATGGAGGCAACCAACATTAGGTCCAATCAAGCTACATTCCCTCCCCCCCCTTTTTTTTTAAATGTAAGCTAGACTGTCCAACATTATTGTCATTGTCACCTTCTCTTTCTTGCAGACTGCAATTAGACTTCAACCAAACAGGGACGGGACAGATATTCCTAAATATTCCTGATACTACTCTACCTGGATCATTGATTACAATAACCTTGCAGGCCAACTCTCTCAACCCATCTGCAGAGCCTGATTTTGCCCATATCGATCTTCTGGTGATGCCTCAGCCTCAGGTGAGACATGCATGAACAAACCACGTTGAAAAGGGCTCTGGAGAAGAGAGCTACTTGGATGGTTTGACGAATCGTTCATTTCTACCAAAAACAATTTTTTTTATAGGCTCAGATAGGAAAGCAATCTCAGTACTCTGTCTTGAGCAGTGAAGATTAGTAGATTTGGTTACAGATGTCCATCTCTGTCCTTACGTATAGTGAGATGCTTGCCTGTTCTCAGAATCTGCTGCCTTTGGCAATGTCAGTAAAGAGATGGAGAATATCCATCTTGTTAGGACATGTTGGATCTGTGCATTTTGGGTACTGCTTGACTGTAGCAGCTAACTGAATTAATGCGTGGGTCCTACTCTAAGTGAGTGGAAACTTCTTGAGTCTTGAATTCAGTCTACAAGGGGTTCCGGAACTCAAACCCACTACATTTGAAAGGCAACAAGTGGGGAAAGGTTGACAAACATGTAGATACAGAGCCTAGGACAGTGGTTCTCAACCTTTTTAATGCCGCAACCCACAACCGGTCATAAGTCGAGGACTACTCAACCGGTCGTAAGTCGAGGACTATTCAACTGGTGCAGTACCGTTTGCAGAATGGGACTTTTGGCGGGCTCAGCAGGGCAGAGACAGCCTGGACAATTCCTATTGGCTTTTGAAAGAATAGAATAAAAGGGAGTAGCACAGCTAAGGAAAAGGGGGGGAAATGGCAGACTGTGGGTTTGGCGACCCCCGTGAAATGGTCGCTCGACCCCAAATGGGGTCCCGACCCACAGGTTGAGAACCACTGGCCTAGGAGATTCACTGAATATCCCGCTGGGCTGCATGCATTCTTAAGCAATGTAGTAAACTGGTAATATTTTTATCATATGGGCAAGTGGCTTTGAATGACAGTACAGTGCAATAAACTTGCATCTGCTTTTCCCAGGTGTATTATTTAAGACTACAATACTAAAATCAATTGATTGTGCATGAACCTTTGCCAGTGCAATTGTTTGATCTATTGCAACTTGTCCCTTTTGTTCTTTAATCATAGGTGGAAACCACCTCACCCCCTGTATGCAATGTCACTTCTTCAGAGAATTCCTGTGGTCCACCACAGTCCCCCTGTCGCAACCAACATTGGGCAGTCACCTTGCAAATCTGGGACAAAGCTGGTATTCACTCGGTGCAGGTGGAAAATGGTCCAGTGCTTCCCCACCAAGCCCATGGGTCGGTGGAAATAGTCACTTACACCTCAAATTGTTGCTCACGGCAGGCAGAGCTAGTGATCACCAACCTTCTTGGGGAGAAATATCCATGTCAAGTTGAAGTAATGCCACCTGTCCTTCCTGGCAAAACAGTAACCACACCTCCAGAGGATTTTAGGGTGGTGGCAGATGCTCCTGATGCTGCTGATAGAGCTGTTGCTCCTTCTGCCAAAATCTGGTGGTGGAGCTCAACCATCTTAATGGCCATTGTGTGGCTGGCACCATAAGGCCGCCATTTATTACGTATGGGAGAAGTTTCCAGCTGCCCTCTGCTGGAAAATGATGGTATTTACCTTATTAGAGAATAAAGTTAAAAAGAGGATCTGCTGAGCAGGAGCGCAATAACTAACATTCTATGAGGGAAGGAAGGAAGGGAAAGGAAAGGAAAGGAAAGGAAAGGAAAGGAAAGGAAAGGAAAGGAAAGGAAAGGAAAGGAAGGAGCCCTCAAAAGACCATTGTTAGGATGTGACATTGGGAGTTTACTCAGTGTGAAGGAAAAGTCACTAAAATCCTGTAACCTGATTGGAAGAGCTGAGTTAGAGAGAGAACAAGAATCTTTTTTTAAAATGGGGTAGAGCATCCATTAACACAACCTTGTAGTGAAGCTGGCTTTTGACCAGATACCAGGACTCTTAATCTATCGGGTGGTATTTTTTAATACGAGTTTGCTCTCTAGTATGAGATGAGCTCCTTGAAAAAAATTTTAACTGGACATGGTAGGATAGTTGTTCCGATCTGTATGCACAGGATGGGCTATGGGTTATGATTTCCCAAGAGGGATTGTTCAAAGGCCCATGTGGGGCCTGAACCCACAGTCTTGCTGCTAGTAAACATATGCTTTGATGGACAGTTTTGGGGTTGCTAATCCCACGGACTGACATTGCTGACCCGCATTTCTTGCACCATTCCACATCCAGGCACTCTGCATGGTGTCTGCTGCAGTTCTCTCAGCTTCTTCAAATGTTTCTGGACTTCACTGCAGGAGTTTACTCCTTTCTGATCATAGGCACATGCTGCCAATTGCACCTCGTTGCTCTTAACTCCCTAGAAATGGGATTGATTTTGTTTTGGAGCAGCTTCTGCTAAAACAGCCTTCCCCAACCTGGTCTCTTTGAGATTTTGTTGGAAGTCCAAGATCCCCCCTGAGCGGGAAAGAAATATAACTGAAAGGCACAAGGGAAAATTTGGGGAAATTTGAAATGAAGGCTCACGGAAGTTCAACCACAGTATGCTCTGGAAAGCTGGCGGATATTTCCTTGTGGTACACACCATTCCTAAATGCAGATACATCTCAGTTTTACTCCACAATAATTGTGCTATTGATGTAGACATGATTACAGGTAAGTCAATGACACTGTAACGAATAAACTGTGAACAGATAGGCATATTTTAACATTTACAGAATTTTTACGTAGGCAACCAACGTTCTCTGAAGAGTAGAGAGCATTAATTCAAAATATCTATAGTGCCACTTTGTAGCATGCTTTAGGAAGAGAATGTTGTAATATTGAAGAGAGGGAATGATTTGGATTGTAAAATATATCTAAGTGCTAAGGCTAACACTAAGTGCTTTTGGTAGCCTTCCAGCTTCTCTATATAGAGAAGTAGATCCAAGGGGATTCTAGGGGAAAGGTTTTTGAAGTGGATAAAATATATATATATATTTCCAATTCAGTGAATTTTGAATATTCTTTTTGAGAGTGAAAAAAATACAGCATTATTTTTAGAACATAGAATAATAGATAGATTCTCAGTCATCCAGGTCATGGTTGTCCCAAAGGTGCTTTTTCACGAGGCAACTGGATTTCCTTGTTTTTCTTTGAAGATCTTTCACTTCTCATCCAAGAAGCTTCTTCAGCTCTGACCATTCCCCACCATCCAGTCAGACCTGAAGAAGCTTCTTGGATGAGAAGCGAAATATCTTCAAAGAAAAACAAGAAAGTCCAGTTGTCTCTTGAAAAAAGCACTTTTGGGATATAGAATAGTAAAGTTGGCAGGGACCTTGGAGGTCTTCTAGTCCAACCCCCTGCTCAAGAAAATCCTATGCCATTTCAAACAAATCATCATCCAGTCTCTTTTTGAAAGCCTCTAGTGATGAAGCACCCACAACTTCCAAAGGCAATCTATTCCATTGGTTGATTGCTCTCACCATTAGGCAATTTCTCCTTAGTTCTAGGTTGCTTCTTTCTTTGGTTAGTTTCCATCCATTGTTTCTTGTCTTGGAAAATAGTTTGACCCCCCCCCATCTTTGTAGGAGCCCCTCAAATATTGGAACACACCGCTATCATATCTCCCTTAGTCCTTTGTTTCATTAGATTGGACATACCCAATTCCCGTAACCGTTCTGCGTATGTTTTAGCCTTCATCCTTCTATCATCATTTTTCTTGCTCTTTTCTGCACTCTTTCCAGAGTCTCTACATCTTTTTTATAATATGGTGAGCAGAACTGGAGGCAGTATTCCAAGGGTGGCTGTACTAAGGCTTTGTAAAGTGGTATTAATACTTCTCGTGATCTTGATTCTGGCCCTCTATTAATGCAGCCTAGGATTGCATCGGCTTTTTTGACTGCTGCTTCACACTTTTTTTTGTTTTGTTTTTTTGGCTGCTGCTGTACACACCCCTTTTGATCTTTCTTATCTTCGGAGTAGCCAAAAAGAGCTTGCTAATTTAATTCAGGAAGCAATATTGCTTTTCCAGGTCAGAATCCTTAGCAGTTACAAGTAGTCCTTTTGTGTGTTGCGCAGGCCTCACTTTGCATTATTCCACTCCACAGCAGAATCCAGTAATAACCCCTTCTGCTTGATTTTTACCATTGGGCTGAATAAAGATGGAATTTTGTGCGTCTTAAGAAGTTCTCCTCTTTACACAAGAGTCTCCTGGGTGATGATGGGGCCATTAGTCACAGACTAATCTAATAATTCACCCAGTCTCTTGCCCACTTTGAATCTCCATTAATTTATCATCTCCAGATAACGTTATTTCACATGATATACCTCCATTCCACTGAGCCCTGGAGGACTTCTTAAGCATTCCCATTTCCCTGGTCAATGCACCAAAATTCAAAGATAAGAGAAAAAAAAAACTAGATGGTGCAAGATCTGGACCAAAAGGAGAGTAATTCCGTTATTGTGCTGTGAGAAGTAAGCCAGTAGTCTTTATCCATTCGATCAGGGGTCTTCAAACTTGGCCCTTTTATGACTTGTGAACTTCAACTCCCAGAATTCCTCAGCCAGCGTGCCTGGAAGTTGAATTCCACAGTCATAAAAGGGCCAAGTTTGAAGACCCCTGTATTAGATCAATGTTTCTCAACCTTCGCAGTTTGAAGAGGTGTGGAGTTCAACTGTGCTGTGCTGGCTGGGGAATTCTGGGAGTTGAAGTCCACACCTCTTCAAATGCCAAGGTTGAGCAACACTGCGTTAGATAAAATAGTGTACTGCAGGATGAGCTATCTCTTCATTTCTTCTTTAGCCAAGAGATTGTTGAGCAGGACTCTGAATCACAGGACTCTTCTGTGTTGCTGGTGCTATGAATTAAGTCCTGGAATGCCTTTCTTAGGTTTCTTCTTAGACCTGGCCTTGGCTAAATGTGCTCCAGAGGCTTTCATGATCCAACCCAGTGATGGCGAACCTTTTAGAGACCGAGTGCCCAAACTGCAACCCAAAACCCACTTATGTATCGTCAGGTGCCAGGTGGGCGTGGCCTATTGGGTGGGCATGGCCCATTGGGTGGGCATGGCTGCGGTGACAACGGCAGATTGGGTGGGACTAAAAAGTTCAATCAATCAATTCCAACTTTGCGAGACCTTTTATTTTCCAGCGAGAAGTTGAAATTGATTGATTGAATCTTTTTTTTTTTTTGCGCACGGCGGCAGAGGCCTAAAGCAGTGGTTCTCAACCTTTCTAATGCCGTGACCCCATAAAACAGTTCCCCATGTTGTGGTGACCCCCAAGTGGGTGTGGCCACCAATAAGAGGGAGTAGGACAGCTAGGGAAAAGGGAAAAAAATGGCGGACTGCGTTGTTTGGCAACCCCCGTGAAATGGTCGTTTGACCCCAAATGGGGTCCCGACCCACAGGTTGAGAACCACTGGCCTAAAGCGAAAAGGTTTTATAAAACCCAGCTGAAGGCCCAGGACTGGGGCGACGGCGTGCGTGCTCACAGAGAGGGTTCTGCGTGCCACCTGTGGCACGCATGCATAGGTTCACCACCATGGATCTAACCTTTCTCCAATTTCCATGACCCACTGCTCCAAACTGCCTCTGAACTACAACTTTACCCTTCTTATCTCCAGAGCAGCCGGAAGAGCTTGCTAATTTAATTCAGAAAGCAAGATTGCTTTTCTAGGTCAGAATCCTTAATGGTTACAGGTAGTCCCTGATATTCGTCCCCAATGGAGCCTGCCCGTTACAGTCATAAATGCTGTAAAAAATGGGTGGGGCCACATGACCGATCTGATATTACCACCATGTTTTGCCAATTTCCCCAAAACTCGGGAGTTAAGGGCTGGTTTTCAGCCAAACTGTCATAAAATGTGGTCACGTGACTGTGGGATGTTGCAAACAGCTGGAAAGGCAGCTGTATTGCCGGAGAATCCAAAGTTAGGTCATGTGGCCACAGAAAGGGCCTGTTGGAACTTTAAATCTGGGTCATAAGTAGCCCCAGGATAAGTCCATCCTAATTCTGGATGGTCCTAAGCAGTCGTAAATCAAGGCAGTGCCGATGGAAGGAGAATTCGGTGGGAGCTTTCACCCCGAATCTCTTTCAGCACCTCTAAATAAAAAAGCAAGTCTTACACTAGATCCTATTCTGGACTTTTTAGCCTTAATCTGGATGTTTATGTTTATGTAGTCTCCAGCTGATGCCTGTTTGCACAACTCTATTCCCGTTCTCTTTCCTAATAAATCTGATCGATATATTTTTGCCTACATAAAGATAAATCTCTTTATATTTGTATGCAAATTATTTTTTTATTTCTGTTTTGGTGGTTCTGTATATGGTAGGAACTTTTTGTGGATATTGAAATAAGAGATTTCTGTAAGCAGCATTTTGGAAATGTGAGCATGAGTTGAGTAAAGTGAATTCAAGGCAAACCATTTGCTTCCTTAGTGTTTATTGTTCTCCCAGGGAAGTTTGCACGAGAGAAGATGTTTTCACTGCCCATTCTTCCTTATGCAGCCCTAAAACATTCAAATACTTTTAACATTTTAATGACACCTTTGTTTCCACGCATTTCAAGAGATTAACTTCAGAATAAATACAAAATGATTTTTTAAAATAGCTCAGTAGAGGACCTGGTGGGAGGGAAAGGAGAAAGCACAAAGAATGCAGTACTGTGCCATAACTGGTTTGGGATTTTTCTATAGTGGTTTATTCAAGCCAGCAAGAGGGGTGGGGATGGCAGCAACTAACGAAGGAGAAATCAACTAGAAAGTTTACCAAGGATTGATGTTAAAATGACTCGCTCGGTGCTCCGAGCCTGACAGTGAAACAGGCCAGTGGCGCAGAACGTAGAATCGACAGACAAATAATTGCCTCTCTTCAGGTTTTCGAGTCACCCTGCAGAGCGAGGAACCCCAGTTTAAAGCATGGTTGACAGGCGGCTGTCAGACTTTCAACAAAAATAATTAATCCCATGCAGCCGGAATTCTCCATGATTTGCACAGAAAGAATCTGGGGTCTTTTTTCCCTTGCACAGCGCAAATAAGTGCTGGCAACTGTTTAATTCTGCAACACTCCTGTGATTTCATCACCTGTCCACAAGGGAGAGAACTTTCAACTGTCCTTCACTCTGGTAATACCAGAGTTAAATAGTCTTTCTCACCGTATTTTGACAGCATCAAAAGGCCATTGGCAAGTGTCCCAATTTGTGGGACTATCGCCCATTATGCCTGAGGCAACTCAAGTGGACTACAGAAAAGCCAGGACAGGGTCAGGCTACGAACTGACCCTGGGGGTCAACAGACATGTCAGGAAGGTTTTTGCTGAGTCAAGGAGAGTCAAATTGCACTTCAAAGCAACTGTGGAGAGCAAGAACCGATTGTATGCTAAGAGTGTTCCACCACTGAATCGTGATTCATCCCTTTCATTGCCTTGGCATTGGGATCAGAGAATAGAATAGAAGAGGAGAACAGAACAGAACAGAACAGAACAGAGCTGGAAGGGACCTTGGAGGTCTTGTAGTCCAGCCCCCTGTTTAAGCAGGAGAACCTACACCAATCCAACAGAAAGAGTCATTTTTTAGCACTTTGAGACCATAAGGGAGCAATGGGACATAGAGAGTTCATGATTCACTCTGTGTCCCACTTTGCCTAAGTCACTGCTAATCTGAGGTCACTTCATTTTGCCTCCGTTCCTAGCACAGGCCTCTGGAGTACAAGCTCTCCGATTCTCCTCCTCCTGGTAGGATGTAGCTAACGAAGTGCTAGGCTCCATCTATCTTTATAATTTATTTCTTGTAAATACAAGCAGTCCTCAACATACAGCACTTCATTTAGTGACTGTTCAAAGTTGCAACGGCACTGAAAAAAGTAATGTGACCATTATGCACACATATGACTGTTGGAGCATCCCCATGATCATGTGATCAAAATTTGGACACTTGACAATTGGCTCGTATTTATGACAGCTGCAGTGGCCCGGGGAGGGGGGCGTGTCACGTGATCCCCTTTTGCAACCTCCTGGCGGGCAAAGTCAACGGGGAAGCCAGATTCACTTAACAACCGTGTTGCTAACTTAACAGCTGCATTGATTCACTGAACAATTGTGGCAAGGAAGATCGTAGAATGGGGCAAATCTTAACAAATATCTCATTTAGCAACAGAAATTTTGGGCTTGGTTGTGGTCGTAAGTCGAGAATTACCTGTAGCTCTCCTCGCTGTTAAAATATAAAACCAGCTCTGCTAATGGTTGCTTGGGATTAGGATTCTCATTCTAGCAAATGTTCCTGCCCACAAAGGACATCTCTGCCTCCCAACAATTTGAAAACAAGAAGACAGCTGCTGAAAAATCAAACATCTGGGCAATCCAACACTGGCAAACCTGACTGATCCTTGCTCTCTAGGTGCTTACGGGGTGCGGGTGAGGTTGGGGTTCTACCTGTCAGATTATATTTGATCCTAGTAGTTGGGGATGTCAGTAGAGGGTTGTTTTTTTTAAAGCTAGGCTCCTCTGGCAGTCAGAAGGAAGGATTCTATATAATTCTTTTTTCTTAGTTTCACAGCTGTCCTTATTTTATATATCAATTGAACTATGTCCCAGGGCTATCTCCTCTACACGCCCTAGTGTACAATCTGCCCATCGCAAAACGTCTGGGAGAATCTAGGAGTTTATTCATTTAGGGAAACTGAGATGCATACGTAGGCTCACCAATGCAATTTCTCTGTTGCAGCACTAGTAGTTTGAAATACATTTCTCCGTGAAACTCAAGAAGCCCCCATCTCATTAGGTTTTAGGAATTTATTAGAAAGTCAACTGTGTAAGAGGAATGTTGTGTTTGAATGCAAGCTTCTAGTTCAGTGATGGCAAACCTTTTAGAGACCGAGTGCCCCAAAACTGGCCCCGCCCCTACTCTACCCCCACCCCACCTGTCCGCAGGGCCACTTACCGCCTCCAGGGCCCACCGCCAATCACCCAGGCAGCCCAGCAGCGCCATGGCAGCCACACCCTCTGCCCATGCCCCACAACATCAACTGTGCGGGGTGAGGCATGAGGGCAGAGTCTTGTCTATGCTGCCTGGCTGCCATGTCCTTGGCTGCGCTGCTCCGTGTAGGCCACACTCGGGGGCGACTCTCCTCTAGGGGAGCTGCTGGAGAGGAGGGGGTCGTGGGGGGAGGCGAGGCTGGGGCAACGGCATGTGTGCCCACAGAGAGGGCTCCGAGTGTCACCTCTGGGACGCGTGCCATAGGTTCGCCACCACTGTTCTAATTATTAATTCCATGACAATTTTATTTCATCTCCTTGCAATTCAGGTTTTTAGACATGACCTTGTGGTTTTAGATTTTACCACTTACTTCTGAGCGTACCCTGGATGTTATATTGCAAATTATTGATTGTGACCCATAGAGAGTGGACACATTGCAGTGGGCTATGACCAAATAAATAACCAAATAAGCTGAATTTTAGAAGGTCACAAGAAAGGAATTGTTTCCTTTACAAGCAAAAGACAATTTCAAAGGGGACAAAAGAAGGAAGAAAGTAATAGAAAAATATCAAATGGAATCAGAAAAGCAGAAAGAAAATGATTAAACTGTAAACACACCCCACAAGTGCAGGATTGATCTAAATTTTAGAAGAGCATTTCTCAACTTTAGCAACTTTAAGATGTGTGGACTTCAACTCCCAGAATTCCCCAGCCAGCATACTGGGTTGAAATCCATCCATCTTAAAACTGCCAAGTATAAAAAAAAAAATACTGATCTAAAAGCATTTGGATCATAGAAACAATATTCCAAAACGTGGAAAGGAAACACAGCTAACATAGATTGTAGGCTAGATACAGGGAGCCATGCGCCTATGCTTCATAGTCCTGTTTTTAGCCATAAATATATCTTGGTTTCATTTCCCTTAGCTACAGAAAAGTAATACTCAGCCCCACTCAGATATAAATATAAAACTGAAGAACCCAGAATTACAGTTAAATATTTGCAGATTATATCAAAGGAGAGATTGCAACATTTATAAACCAAAGAGATCGTCAACATATTTGGTCTCTGAATGAAAAAGCTTTTGATGGGTATGGGCTCTTTTTCTGGGTTGGAAAAAAAAAATAACACAGAGGGAGGTTACTTCAGCACAGGTATCCCAGGGAAAAACATGCTGCCATGATATGAATTCTGAGTGCCTGCATCCCTGATCCAGAGCTACAGAGCGCAAAGTCCTGAAGCTGTTATAAGAGAAGGTTTTCAACCTCATAGCTGAAGTAAGAATCTAAAATATGTTGGAACCCAGGAGGGTAAGAAACCAAGGCAGTTATGAGCCTTGTCTTGGTTGCCCGATGCCTCTGATTCATCTCCTAACCCATTTCCTTCCACGGGTTATTTTTCATGAACCTCAAGAGCCTCATGTTCACCTTTCCCATTTTAACAACCATCAACCATCTCCAGATGTTTCTCCAACAAACCTGACCCTCTGCAATTAGAGGGGAAAATAGGAACAGGAATGCTGTTGGCCTCTTTCCTAACAAAAGACTTGATGTGGTCCATCGTTTGGAGTCCCCAAAGGAGGTGATATCCCAAGCAAGCCCAATTGAAGCAGAAGGGTCATAGAGTTTATGGTTGCCCATCCCCGAGCATCTTCTCAAATGAAGGTGAACTCCTTGTGGCTGGGGAGTTTGTAACCCCAGCTCTCCTTCAGCTGCTTGCAAAGGGATGCTTTTTCTTCCTCCAGTTGTGCAATGCGGTGGCATTTTTGGGACACCTCCTGTTAGTCAGGTAAACATCAATGATTATGACACAAGTAGCATCATTTCTCCATTCATCTGACATGTTTAGAGCCTTTCTGCTCTCGAAAGGAGCTTGTAGTTGGTTACTTCCCAATTCAAGGAGTCCCTCCAACCCGGTTTGGGGCCATTTTACTGAGCAACCAAAGATGGACAAATAATGGTCCTCCAAGAATTGATGAACTCCAACTCCCATCAATCTTACACAGCTGGTATGAGGAGGATGGGAATGGCAGTTCAGTAGCATTTAGTGAGCCACAAATCTCTACCCTGTACTAAGTTTTCATACCATGAGGTGTGTGAGGGGAGAGAGAATGGAGTGCAACCTTTGTTGCGTGCTTCTCTTTTCAACCAGATCAGGAGGCCCCACTGAGGTGCATGCAATTATTTGTGATTTTATATGAAGATTATATTTTAAAAAGATGCATCTTGCCAGAGGACCTCACAAAGCAATCTCACGTAATAGATGCAAGCTGAAGTTTTAAATTCTGCAAACAGTGAGAATCTGTTTATTATAGGCTATAGGTAGTCCTTGATTTACAGTCGTTAATTTAAAGCAAATTAATTTTTAGCCATGAACCATCCATGTTCAACCGCACCTACCCACCCCCGTGTTACTGTCATGGATTCCAATACAAAATGCAGGACAGCCCGAGGTGACTAATTAATATTTCAAAAGCAAATCATACTACAGGAGAAAAATAGACTGTCTGAAATAAACCTATAAACGATTTTCAAGGAACACTTATGACAAAGGGAGATATTAAATTCTACCTGCTATTACTAGATTACTTAGTATTACAGTCCATCAAAGATTTCTCAGTAGGTTAAAATTTGCTTTCTCCTGACTGTTCCAGATGGTGGAGATGTACTTATTTTCTCTTAGGGGAAATAAGCCACAACCAAAAATTCAATGATGATGATGATAATAATAATAATAATAATAATAATAATAATAATAATAATAATAATAATAATAATAATAATATAAAATAATAAAATAAAATAATAAAAATAAAATAATAAAATAAAATAAAGTAATAAAATAAAGTAATAAAATAAAATAATAAAATAATAATAAAACAAATAAAATAAATAAGATAAGATATAAAATAAAATAATAAAATAAATAAAATAAGGTAAGATATAAAATAAAATAAAATAAATAATAAATGCTCCATAGCAGTTCTTCTATTATTAGATTTATTCACATCACGCCAAAAAGTCCTTTTTTAATTACCAAAGAACTATTCTGAATTCTCAAACACTAAGAAGTGAATTACAGGTTAATACTGTACAAAGTGTGTGTCCTACCTAAAACACACAAGCATACTTGTTTGCGGGATAGTCTGGATCTCTGGATTCTACTTCTAGTAGATCAGTCTGGCACATTATAAAGTCCCAAAGGTGTTTTTATCCAAAAGACAACTGGACGTCCTTGGTTTTTTTTCCCTTAAAAATGTTTCATTTCTCATCCAAGAAGCTTCTTCAGTGAACTGAACTGAAGAAACTTGTTGAATGAAAAGTAAAACATTTTTTTAAAAAAACAACCAACAGCCCAAGAAAGTCCACTCGCCTTTTGGAAAAAAGGACCTTTGGGACAACCTTGATTTGCATGATTGAGAATCTCCATAGACACATTACAAATGCAGTTTAAATCAATTGTCCCCTTTTCCATCCAAAGGAGATCAGCCAGGCTTTTGTAGTTACCTTGGTCAACAGGTGGTTCTGTTCCTTGAGCACAAGGATGGCTTGCTGGTGAAATGGATTTTCTGGAGAGGAAAAGGGAACCCTCCAACTTTTGAGTGGCACTTCGGGCTGCAAAGAAGGGGGGGGGAAATCACAGTTTAAGTGTGACTCACCACCACACTTGTATCTAGCATGAACAAGTGCTGTTTTGCTGGCCAAATTCTTACTACAAATAAACCATATTCACACAAAAAGCTTGCAAAAAGTTCTAAGAACATGGTACAATTAAAAAGTCATTGGGAGCCATTCCGAGTTGGCTGAAAGATGGGCAGCTGAGAATGTTGCCTGGGTCATAAATGCGAGGACCAGTCATAAAGTTACTTATTCGATGCCATCATTACTTCAAATGGTCACTAAACAAGGTGGTTGGTAAGTAAGGTCTATTTGTATCGGTCACCCGGCATATACTGTAGGTCTGCACAATTCTGAACCCTACCGATAAATGGTTGCGTAAATTAGTCTAACAAAGAAAAGGACTCGGTGTGACATAAAATTAGTCTTCCAATATTTGAGAGGCTGTCACAGACAAGAGGGGATCACTTTATTCTCCAGAGCATCTGAAGGCAGGACAAGAAGCAACAGATGGAAACTAATTAAGGAGAGAAGCAACCTAGAACTAAGGAGAAACTTCCTGACAGTTAGAACAATTAACCAGTGGAACAACCTGCCTCCAGAAGCGGTGAATGCTCCAACACTGGAAGTTTTTAAGAAAAGACTGGACAGCCATTTGTTCGAAATGGTATAGAGTTTCCTGCCTGAGCAGGGGGTTGGACTAGATGACCTCCAAGGTCCTGCCAAATCTGCTACAAGTAGTTCTCAACTTACAACTGCAATTGAGCCCAAAATTTATGTTGCTAAGTGAGACATTTGTTAAATGACTTTTGCCTCATTTTACGACCTTTCTAGCCACAGTTGTTAAATGAATCACTGCAGTACTTAAATGAGTAATATGTTTGTTAAGTGAATCTGGCTCCCCATTGAGTTTGCTTGTCTTATGGTCACAAAAAGTAATCACATGACTCGGGACTCTGCAACCGTCATAAAGATGAACCAGTCGCCAAACACCCGAATGTTGATCACATGACCATGAGGATGCTGCTATGGTTATAAGTGTGGAAAAACAGTCATAAGTCACTTTTTTCACTGAACTTTGAACAGTCACTAAACAAAATGACCGTAAGTTGAGGACTCTCTGTATTCTGTGATCCCACCCCTTTAGTCCTACTGACCTTTCCAGAAGAAGTGAGTAAACTTTTCAAGCACAGGTTGACTTCCTGGATCTTGGCCAGCAGCAGGCAGCTCTGCTTAGAGTAAGAATCTCGGCTGTCATTCTGCAGTGGTGCAAAACAGGACAACAAATCTCAAAGCTGAAAATCCAACGTCTATCCCAAATGTTCCAGTTCAAGAAATAAGAAAAAAAAAAAAGAATTTCTTGCATTTAAGACATCCACCACTTCAGGTGGGTCCTTGACTTACGACCACAATTGAGCCCAAAGTTTCTGTGGTTAAGTGAGACGTTTGTTAAGTGAGTTTTGCCCTGTTTTACAACCCTTTCTTGCCACAGTTGTTAAGTGAATCACCACCGTGGATAAGTTAGTAACCTGGTTGTTAAGTGAATCTGGCTTCCCCATTGTTTTTTCTTGTCAAAAGGTCACAAAAGGGAATCGTATGATTTTGGGACACTGCAACGGTTGTAAGTATGAACCAGCAGCCAAGCATCTGAATTTTGATCACGTGATCAAGGGGATGCCACAACAGTCGTAAGTGTGAAAAATGGTCACAAGTCACTTTTTTCAGTGACGTAATTTTGAATGGTCACTAAATGAACTGTTGCAAGTCGAGGACTACCTATACTCTCTCCATGAAAGTCTGAAGACTTAGTTACATATACTTACTTGTAATTTAATTGCATATTTTCTTCCTGTTTTAATTTCTGATTCCACTTTGGCACAGCTGCTTTCTTTCCACGGAGTAATAAGCGACTGTAAGATTAGGTATTCAATAAAGGACTGCAGCATAAATTATGCTGACAATAATTTAGTAGAATTGTTTGCTTCAGGCAAATTTCATTAATGGTTTTCTGCTTTTCTTAAAATTATAAATATAGAGTAGAATTGTGAATACACAATTCACAATTGTGATTTAGTTACTGCAGCCCTTCCCAACCTGGTCTGTTTTATTTATTTAAATTTATTAGCCACACAAGCTTGTCCAGATGTCTTAAAACATTTCATTTATTCATTCATATATTCATTTTATTCAACAGTATTCATAGATTGCCCCCAAATGAATGACTCTTACACAGTGCAAATTTAGAAAGCGAGTGAAAACATAATCATTTAAAGAAGCTTTCCGGGACTAAGTTATGGAGGATATATACTATATATGTAGAATATGCATATGAATGAAGAATATATGTACTGTAGGTAGAATTCAGGTAGTGTTAGTAACTTTGCTGTTAACTGTGATGTTATTAAAAAGTCAATTTAGTAACATTAGATATATGTAGAGGCATTTCTTTCACTATAATTGTTTTTGTAAGCTGATTAGATTTATTCTTAATTGAAATACGTAGGACTGAAGACATTTGCCAGTAAATAAATGAATAAATTTGAAGGGAAGAGAGGAACATAACATGGTGATGGATCATGCCTAGGACTATTCAGGAGTGAGGCCTTTGAACTATGGTGCTGGAAAAGACTTCTGCGAGTCCCCTGGACTGCAAGGCATTCAAACCGGTCAGTCCTAGAGGAGATCAACCCCGACTGCTCTTTAGAAGGCCAGATCCTGAAGTTGAAACTCAAGTACTTTGGCCACCTAATGAGAAGGAAGGACTCACCGAATGCTGGGAAAGATTGAGGGCAATAGAAGAAAGGGACGACAGAGAATGAGGTGGCTGGATGGAGTCACTGAAGCAGTAGGCGTGAGCTTAAATGGACTCCAGAAGGTGGTAGAGGACAGGAAGGCCTGGAGGAACGTTGTCCGTGGGGTCGCGATGGGTCGGACACGACTTCGTAACAACAACATGGAGCTCTTATGAAGTCATTTTGAATGCTATTGTGACTGTTTTGTTTGAGGGGTAAAATTTTTCTGTCAAATGATACGTTTGAAATGTAGGGAGTCCTCGACTTATGATCATCATGGAACATGCCTATCATGGTCATTAGTCATGATAATCGTAAAACAGGTCAGTCGGATTTTATGATCTTTTTTTAATGGCAGTCATTAAGAAATCACAGTTGTTAAGCGAATGCTACAGTCGTTACATGAACCAATAATTCACTATGGGTGCGGTTTTGCTGAAAAACCAGAAGTAAGTGCTGAGTTTTGGCACAACCCTGGTAAAACACAGTCTCGTGACTTCAGGACACTCAAATGGCCATAAATGACCGATAAAAAGGTTGCCCATCCTGACTTACCGCCTGGGCTCCCATGTGCTTCTGGCGTTTTTGAGCTTCCAGCAGGTGGCACTGTAACCAGTCGCGTACCTGGTTAACCATTTCCAAGCCTTGGAGCAAGGCATCGCGCTCTCTTTCCAGCTGCTGCATCTGCTTGAGCTGCAGAGAGAGGGAGAGAAGGAGGGAGGGAGGGAAGAAGGGAGGGAGGGAAGGAAAGAGAGTGAGAACGAGGGAGGGAGGGAGGAAGGAAGGAAGGGAACGAGAAGGAGAGAGGGAGAGAGGGAGAGAGGGAGGAAGGGAGGAAGGGGGAGGGAGGAAGGAAGGAAAAGGAAGGAGGGAGGGAGGGAGGGAGAGAGGGAGGGAGAGAGAGAGAGAAGGAAGGAAGGGAACGAGAAGGAGAGAGGGAGAGAGGGAGGAAGGGAGGAAGGGGGAGGGAGGAAGGAAGGAAAAGGAGGGAGGGAGGGAGGGATGGAGAGAGGGAGGGAGAGAGAGAGAGAAGGAAGGAAGGAAGGGAACGAGAAGGAGAGAGGGAGAGAGGGAGGAAGGGAGGAAGGGGGAGGGAGGAAGGAAGGAAAAGGAGGGAGGGAGGGAGGGAGGGAGAGAGGGAGGGAGAGAGAGAGAGAAGGAAGGAAGGAAGGGAACGAGAAGGAGAGAGGGAGAGAGGGAGGAAGGGAGGAAAAGGAGGGAGGGAGGGAGGAGGGAGAGAGAGAGAGAGAGAGAGAGAAGGAAGGAAGGAAGAAAGGAAGGAAGGAAGGAAGGAAGGAAGGAAGGAAGGAAGGAAGGAAGGAAGGAAGGAAGGAAGGAAAAGAAAGAGAAACTGTAATTAGTGTAGCTTGCTGTTTCTTTGACTCCCAGGAGAATTTCTTTACAATGACAGGAGAACTTTAACTAGACATGAGATACCCCGAAAAGAGACCTACAGTATTAAGTCATCCCTCCCCAAGATCCATAATTTAGGAGCAGATGGGTTTGCATTCAGAAAAGTTAATGCTCAGCCCTGTTTCAAAGACTGAAAGCACCAAGAGGGCGGACATAATCTGAGACATGAAGGGTGCTGATAGCCAGAATAACAGAATAACAGGCTTGGAAATGTCCTTGGAAGTCTTCTAGTCCACTCACCAGCTCAAGCAGGAGATCCTATACCAATGCTATACCAATGCTGTTCAATCTCTTCTTGAAAACCTCCAGAGTTGGAGCATCAGGGCTTTTTTCTCATAGAACGCCCAGAACGGAGTTCTGGCACCTTTTTGGGATGGAACCTTGTAGGGTAGGCAAGGTGGGTTGTATGACGTGTGTGAGTTCTGGCACCCTTTTTTTTTTAAAGAAAAAAAGCACTGTGGAGCACCCACAACAATTGGAGGCAAGCCATTTCACTGATTAATTAATTTCTCCTTTATTCTAGGTCGGATCTCTCTTTGATAAGCTTCCATCTGTTACAGAAGAGACTCAATCTCATAACTTCTACCAATTAGTTGCACCAATTACAACAAAAAGGTTGTTTCCCCCTATTCATACCCAGAAGCAGATTCGCAGCATTTTGGCTCTTTGGAAGAAGCGCAGTTGGTTGAACTGCTCATTTGAACCTCTGGTATTTTTATTTTAAAATAAAATTCTACAGCATGGTAAAAACTGCACGTGGAGTTCTATCAAAACCAGTTTTTTTAGGGTGGCTTGCCATGGCATCAACATCCACACCCAGTTACAATAGACAGCAGAGTATCGTCAATATGAAACTAAACAATTGTTGGCAATGAAAGCAGTATTGAAACAATAATTAAGCATACATCAGGATGGAGAGAGAGGGAGGGAGAGAGGGAGGGAGGGAGAGAGAAAGAGAGAGAGAGAGAGAGAGAGAGAGAGAGAGAGAGAGAGAGAGAGAGAGAGAGAGAGAGAGAGAGAGAGATCCCTATATCCAAAGAGAAGGCAACTCAGCCTATCTCCAGAAGACTGGGGAAATATAACTCTTGATGAAGCTTCCAAATAACACCTTGGTATTTTTTAAGCCTAAGCACAACATAAATTAAGATGCTTCCAGCACCTAAGGACTTCTGTGGGGCAAAAGCAATTCCCTCATTTGCAGGATTTTATATGCAGTGCCTCTTTCATTGCAGAACTTTAGAGCAAATAAATCGGGTTTAAGGTGCACGCAGGCTGGGGGCGGGAAGTTGCATGCATGCATGGATCCCTGGTCCTCACAAAGACTTACCCAGATAAAGAATCTCAAAGCGTGCAGATTGCTGAGGGCCGTTCCCAGTGGGATGATGAGGATAGTGTAGCCTCCTTGAACTGCCATGGTGGCCCTGCGGTGGGCAGGCAGCAGAAGCCCTGGAGACCCTGCTTTGCTCTCCCTCACCAAATGTGGACTTCAAGCTAGACCTCGGAAGGAAGTTCCTGAGTGTGCCAGCCCTCAGCCAAAGCAACAGGTTGACCTGTGAAGCGGTGAGCTTGCCTTTGCTGAAGGTCTTTCAACAGGCTGGTAGGTCACTTCTCATGGATATTCTACTAGATCCTCTGCCGAGCTGGAGCTCTGGAGCTAAACAATTTCTGAGGTCCCTCCCAATTCTAGGATTCTATAAACCACTTCTCTGATCTGCTTAGACTTCCAGACAACCAAGCTGCAGCATTACACTATTTATGGGTGTAAAACCCACATGGGCAGCTACTCCTGCAAAGCCACTTTTGTTTCTCCTGCAAACCACTCATCAGATCGCTTTGGACCACTCCACCATCTCCCTTCTCCTTCTTAAATCCTGCTAGCCCTCCTTCCTTCAACACCTCCTTCCTGTCCTCTTCTAAAACATCCCCCTCCCAGCCTCCCCTCAACTCTCTCCCTTCTACCCCCTTTCCCCTTCCATCTGTCTATCCCTTTCCTTCTTTAGTAGCCCCCAGCCCCAACCCTTGCTGCCTCTTCATCTGTAGCCACACCTTCACACCCGTCCCTTGATGGCTTCCTCTCTAGCTTTCCGCCCTCTGCTCTGTTTTTCCCACTTGCTTCCCCATCTGTGGTCTTCTTCTCCATCGCTTTGTGTTGCCTGTTCTTTTTTTCTTTCTCCATAGCCCTCTGCTTTATTCTGTGTTTCTTTCCCTCCCTGTGACCTTTCCCCTGCCCTGGTGGAGGGTATATACTCGGTGTCTGGAAAATTCGGGTTTGCCCCCGTCTGCTGGACTCAGCAGTTCTCAAAGCATGCCGGCTTAGACTTCAAGCTTCAGTTGCCCTGGATAATAGGACTCTTAAACCCAGTCTTTTCAGCTGCCCACGTGAGCTCGGAAATGGAAGAGGTGAGCAGCAGGGTGAGGATTAACTTCTTTGAAAGTCTAAAAACTTTGCCACCAGACTTCTGATACTGAATCAGCAAGCTCTGATGGTAGGATTTGTTCATTGTTTTTTTCATCCCGTAATTTTTCCAGACCCAAGTGGGATAGGGAAAAATGGCTCGCAGGAACAGGATGGAAAAAGTTAGGCCAAAGACGCCATACAAGAAAACGTGAGAAAAGTGCATTTAAAATTAGCCAGGCTGCATAATTCTTTCCTTTCCCTGTCCTTGTAGCTCGTTTAAGTACAGGTCGTCCTCTTTGAGCCCAAAAATTTATGTTGTTAAATGAAACATTTATAAAAAAAAATGGGGAGTTTGCCCCATTTTACCACCGTTCTTGCCACAGTTGATAAATGAATCAGTGTAGTTATTAAATTAGTCAGATTGTTGTTAAGAGAATCTGGCTTCCCCTTTGCTCGTCAGAAGACCGCAAACGGGGATCACGTGATCCCAGGACACTGCAACCGTCATAAATATGAGTCAATTGCCAAAGCGTCTGAATTTGGATCACATGACCGTGAGGATGCTAGAACCGTCGTAAGTGTGAGATGTCAGGGTTCCGACTAATGAAGCACTTCAAAGAACTTTCAGGCATGTTTATCCTAAAGCCTTTATTACCAGTGTTACAAATTGACAGCACATCATGGAGGTTTATGCCAGAATCTGAATTCCTCTTGCTGGCATCTAACTTTTCTTGCTAAACCCCTCCCTTATCTTGCAGTCACAAGTCACATCTTCCAATTAGCCCAGAGGGCAGAGATTCACTTCTGTTCCTTTTCTCTGGCTTTTGTTATTTCCCCTCCCTTTTCTCTGTCATCTGAATTAACTCTAAAAATACCAGATAGTTCTGCATATTTTGTCAAAGCAAGAATATTCAATATTGGATGTTTTGATGCCAGAATCTGACTTCCTCTTGCTGGCATCAACCTTTTCTTGCTAAACCCCTCCCTTATCTTGCAGTCACAAGTCACATTATCCAATTAGTGCGAAGGTCAAAAGTTTACTTCCTCTTTCTTTTCCCAGGGCTTTTTACCCCCCCCCACTCTAAGCTATGTATTAACCCAGTAAATACCAGACCGTTTTGCACATTGTCAAAGCAAGAATATACAGTATTTGCAGCATTGACATGAAAACTGCCCATAAGTCACTTTTTTTTCAGTGCCGTTGTAACTTTGAACGGTCACCAAATGAATTGTTGTTAAGTCAAGGACTACCTGTATTAACTCAGAAACCTTTAAGAGAGCACAGCAGGGGTGTGTGAGTGTGTATCATTTTGTTTTGCTGTGCATGAAACTGATGTGGATTTCTTAAGATTTGAATAAATGGAAGGGGGAAAGTGGAAGGGGGAATGGGGAGAGGGGAGAAGAAAGGTGAAGCAAAGGGAAGGAAGGGAAGGAAAGGAGAATAATCTTTTAGTTAGCTCTACGGCAGCGTTTCCCAAACTTGACAATTTTAAGGCATGAGGACTTCAACTCCCAGAATTCCACAGCCAGCAACGCTGGCTGTGGAATTCTGGGAGTTGAAGTCCACATGCCTTAAAATTGTCAAGTTTGGGAAACGCTGCTCTACGGAATCATTCTCTGGATCCCCTTACCATTTCATATTCCACATCACCAGAAATAGTGTGTCTACGCGGTTCCTTTGGCATCACCCTGCACTTCCCACTTTGGGACAAGAAGCTGTTTGTGCTCCTGGATCGAGTGACTCCTTTCCCATCAGATTCTCCTAGAGAAAAAAGAGAGAAGGTTGCTGTTGTTGTTGTTGTTTAGATTCTCCTCCCCCCTTAACTATGAACTATTTGGTTCTGTTTCTGCCAGATGGTTTTACAAAAATGAAGGCCCTTGTACAGGTCTGAGGACCTCAAAAATACAGATTCTAAGAAGCCATGGACTTATTCTAAATCAAACTTCTTAATTTGTTCTTTTTGTTGTTGTTGTTCTTGTTGACCTGACACAATATCTGATACATTTCGAGGTGGTGCAGCAGTTAGAGTGCAGTACTGCAGGCCACTTTAGCTGACTGTGTTCAGCAGGTCAGCGGTTCAAATCTCACCGGCTCAAGGTTGACTCAGCCTTCCATCCTTCCGGGGTAGGTAAAATGAGGACCCAGATTGTTGGGGGCAATGTAAATATATATATACATTGCTTACTGGTGTACACCGCTTAGAGAGTGCTTGCACTTAAAGCGGTATATAAGTCTCATAAATAAATAAATAAATAAATAAATAAATAAATAAATAATAAAACTAACACAGGGAATGTTTTCTTCCTGAAAGCTGCAACCTCCAATCACGGTTATTTCAGGAGATTCTAGGAGGCACTTTGAGATGTTGGATTTGGACCAAGCCAGCCTTCTTCATCTTTCCTGATAGGAAACCAAAATCTTGAGCGGATCTCAGCTGAGTGGATCTCCTCATTTTTCATCCTGCCCAAACACCCTTACTGTGTTTCCCTGAAAACAAGACCCAACTGGAAAATAAGCCCTAGCATGATTTTTCAAGATGCTCGTAATATAAGTTCCACCCCAAAAATAAGCCCTGGTTAAAATCGTCACCCAGATGGATGCATTTAGTACTGTATTTCCCTGAAAATAAGGCCTAACTGGATAATAAGCCCTGATGCGTCTTTTGGAGCAAACATTAATATAAGACATGGTCTTATTTTCGGGGAAACAAGGTAAGTGGAATTTCCAGGCACAACCATCTTACTTTTTTCCTCAATAACCAGTTGAGAAAACCTAGTGAGATGAATCAGCCCCATCACCTAGCCCAGTGATTCTCAACCTGTGGGTCGGGACCCCATTTGGGGTCGAACGACCATTTCATGGGGGTGGCCAAACAATGCAGTCCGCCATTTTCCTCCCCTTTTCCTTAGCTGTGCTACTCCCTTTTATTCTATTGGCTTTTGAAAGCCAATAGAATAGACTCTCTTGAATAGAGTCTAATTCTATTGGCTTTCAAAAGCCAATAGGAATTGTCCAGGCTGTCTCTGCCCTGCTGAGCCTGCCAAAAGTCCCATTCTGCAAACGGTGCTGCACCAGTTGAATAGTCCTCGACTTACAACCGGTTGAGTAGTCCTCGACTTACAACCGGTTGGGGGTTGCGGCATTAAAAAGGTTGAGAACCACTGACCTAGAGTTTCTCTACTGTACCTATATATTGAGTGTCTATGGAGATTCTCAACCATCTATGTAATGGTTCTTCCAAAGGTAGGTTGTTGTTTTTTCCAAAAAGCAACTGGACTTTCTTTTCCATGTCAATCCTTTTTATTAGTTTATAATATAAAATACAAAAATACAAGAGTGAATAATAGGAAAAATAGGAGAGGGAAAAGGGAAGAGAAAAGTGTAGAGAAAAAGGAAAAAGAAAGAAAACGCATTGACTCGTGACTCCCTTTGGTGCATAGACTAGGACAGAGGTAGGCAACCTTGGCTCTTTTATGACTGGTGGACTTCAACTCCCAGAATTCCTGAGCCAGCATGGCTCAGCTTGGAAACCTCTCCCTTTCCCCTCAGCATGGCTGGCTCAGGAATTCTGGGAGTTGAAGTCCACGAGTCATGAAAGAGTCAAGGTTGCCTACCCCTGGACTAGGAGGTAACATTGAATCTCAACTTTCTACTTTTACATAATAGTATAAACTAGCCATTTCTATAACAACAGATCTATCTAATCAGTAAAACCCAAAATCAAAGTTTCATTTTTTTCCACCTCAAGCACAAAGTCCAGACACGGTTTCCAAGCAGAAACAAAAGTACTTGTGTTTTTTCTTTTCTTTTATCAAAGCAGTCCATTTGGCCATCTCTGCTAACTCCATCAGTTTTTGCAGCCATTCATCCATTGTAGGGATCGAAGCGTCCTTCCATTTTTGTGCATAAAGTAATCTTGCTGCCATCAACATATAAAGTTCCACATTTTTTCCCCAATACTTTTTTCATTAAATACAAAAGAAAAGTTTTTGGCTACTGGACTTTTTTAAAGATTTTTCTTTGAAAATCTTTTTTCTTCTCATCCAAAGAGCTTCTTTGGCATCACATCCCACTTCACGTTCTCATAACGAAGTAAGAACTATTTCACAAAATCAATTTCAATTTCAAATGTACTTTCATGAAATGGAATCAGAATGAGTATGAAAAAAAAAATACAGAGAGAGGAATCCCCATTTCTTTCGCTAACCTAAACTAGTATTAATGTGACATTAAAGGCACAACCATAGAGGTAGTAAAAAAGGTGATGAGGTCCTTTTTGATATCTAATTAGCCCTTTAATTAAAGCCATGCCACAAGGGCTAATTGATTAACCGAGCCAGAAGTGGCTTGGGTCTGATGAGATTCATTGCCCAAGCTGATCTCCTAGAGACAGAATTAATGAGAAAAAACTGCTCATTACATACATGAAGATTCTTCGTTGCTTGGTGAAATCCTGTCTATTCTCTTATTCAAGATAGATACATTGATTAGTGCCTCCTCCTAGCGACCACATCAAATTTTTTCCATGATGATCTGTCCCTAACCTCGTCCATCAAGTCTTCCAATGGTATCCCCACCTCTACTTGATACTGATCATCCTCTTCTCTTCCCCTCCACCATTCCCATCATTAGAGATTGCTTTAGAGAGCTAGGTCTTCATAAAGTATCCAAAGTGGGATAATTTGAGCTTGGTCATTTGGGCTTCTAGTGCAGTGGTTCTCAACCTTTTTAATGCCGTGACCTCCAACCGGTCGTAAGTCGAGGACTACTCAACTGGTCGTAAGTCGAGGACTACTCAACTGGTGCAGCACCGTTTGCAGAATGGGACTTTGGCGGGCTCAGCAGGGCAGAGACAGCCTGGACAATTCCTATTGGCTTTTGAAAGCCAATAGAATTAGACTCTATTCAAGAGAGTCTATTCTATTGGCTTTCAAAAGCCAATAAAATAAAAGGGAGTAGCACAGCTAAAGAAAAGGGGGGAAAAAATGGCGGACTGCGTTGTTTGGCGACCCCCGTGAAATGGTCATTCGACCCCAAATGGAGTCCCGACCCACAGGTTGAGAACCACTGTTCTAGTGAGAACTGTGGCTTGTTTAGTTTGATATCCATTTGTTTTATTTTCTCAGAAGTCTTCTCCAACATCAAGGTGTCGATACTCTTTCTACTGTGCTTCTTTGAAAACCAAATTCTGGATTCCAGGGCAAACAATTGCCTGCATAATTCTGATCATTGTTAAGTATAGACATATCCTGGCATCTTGAGTGTCTGTCTGTCAACTCCATTAGGTAGACCAAATCAAGAAATCAACTCTACAGGAAAACTAAAAACACTTTAATTGAGACAGGCTATGATAATAGAATCTTGCAAGTTTGATTGTGCTATACTATTTCCTCCATCTTATAATTCACTAAATTAGGGACTTGGGTTTGGCTAGCCTAAAGAAAAGGGTAGGGTAGGGTAGGGACTGGGAGGGACTGGTTTGGACAAAACTCAGCAGCACTTTTTCGTGCGGCTGCTGATAAAAACAGGATCGCTAACATGATCGCCAACGTCCGATAATGGATATGGCAGAAGAAGAAGAAGAAGAAGAAGAAGAAGAAGAAGAAGAAGAAGAAGAAGAAGAAGAAGAAGAAGAAGAAGAAGAAGAAGAAGAAGAAGAAGAAGAAGAAGAAGAAGAAGAAGAAGAAGAAGAAGAAGAAGAAGAAGAAGAAATAGGGGTGACATGATAGTAGTATTCCAGTATTTGAGGGGCTGTCACAAAGAGGAGGGAGTCAAATTATTCTCCAAAGCACCAGAGGGCAGGACAAGAAACAGTGGTTGAAAACTGATCAAAGAGAGAAGCAACCTGGAATTAAGGAAAAACTTCCAAAAAGTGAGGACAATTAACCAGTGGAACGGCTCGCCTTCAGAAATTGTGGGCGCTCCATCGCTGGAGATTTTTAAGAAGAAACTAGACAGTCACTTGTCTGAAATGGTATAGGTTCTCCTGCTTGAGCAGGGGGCTGGACTAGAAGACCTCCAAGGTCCCTTCCAGCTCTATTCTGTTCTTTTTCAAAGAAAAACCAAGACAGTCCAGATGCTTTTTTGAAAAGCATCTTTGGGACTTCATGTAGGTTCTAAATAATAAAGGGTCTCCAACCACAGAGCTTGTAGAATTGTTCCTACCAAGTCACCATGCACAATTTATGATGCAGCAACCTCAAGGCAACCTAATTACAACCCTGCCAGTTACCACCTGTTTTTGCTAGCCAGTATTTTGCAACAAAGGGTGCTGAAGACTTCTGCCAGATCACAGTTTGTCCTGAAACAACTGCAATTGGCTTCTGTGGCCCTAATGTATGCACCACTGAGTCTAGGAAGCTGATCTGATCCAATACAGATAGTCCTCGAGTTACAACGATAACGGAAGCTGCCCTTCATGGTCATAACTTGTGATAGTCGTAAATCAGGTCACCCAGGTAACTGAGCCAATTTTACAATCTTTTTTTGTAGAAATCATAAAACGACCATCATGGTCACTGAACACTGCAAAAAATTTCTGTTTTCAGCAAAACCTTTATAAAACCCAGTCCATATAACTGTGGGACACAGCACATGGCCATAAATGCAGCCTGGTTGCAAAGTGCCCTCATGTGATTGGGAGTGGGATACAGCTGTCAGAACTTCGAACTTCGAATCTGGATCACAAACACTCCCAGGGGCAGTCTGCCATCATTTCAAACGGTCGGTAAGCAGCCTGTCGTAAGTCAAGGACTATCAGC